CAGCCCTATTGGATTGCGCCTAAATCCGTCAACCGTCCCTCTCGTTGGGTGTGTGAATGGCTGGAGGAGATCAGTAGTAAGCCCGAGTCGAGGTTAATTGTGATTCACTAAAAATGTGGTCAAAGTCAAAATAAGGACTTGAATGGACGCACTCAGACACAACGCTCTATTTGTGGTCTGTTAGTAAATCCCGCTTTGCCGTACATGTCTTCTTCAATCTAGGGCGTATGTATTCAAAAACCCTAATGTATATGTCTAGATAGCCTGAATTTTCCGGCTTTTCTATGTTCCTAGATTAAAAACATGGCTTGAAATGCTCCGCAATAGGACTACAAGACAACGCTCCTGCTATTCTTATAGCTGATTAAGGAAAATTGTATATATTAAGAAAGGGGGTAAAACGTTCTGTAGTGGTATTCATATAGTAACCATCTTGGGGCTTAGTAATTTGTCGCCAGTGAACAGCACCGCAGGTGCTATGTGACTGTGAGCACGACTTCCGGCTTCGTGGCGTCACATGGGCATTGAATAGCTCACTCGGGACCAAGAGCCCATTCCCTCATGAGTTTTTTGTCTCCATGGCAGCGATCATGAAAGAACCAACTAGAGAGCAGGACTACCGTGCCGAGGTTATATAAAGACACTGTTTTCCCCTCTGACGCTACCCAGACTGCATTTCTTATCTGTGTCCAATAAAGCCATCCGGTCTACCTCTTAGCCTTGTTCTTGTATGGTCCCGAAAACAGTAATTGCTAATTACCTTTATAGTGCATTAAATCTTAACTACTCATCCTGTGTTGCTTAGTAATATCACCAACGCCTAAAACAAGCAAAACCTCTGGAAATTTACTTTAGCTCCTTCTTAAGCGTCTGCATAAAAGTATTTTGCAGGTTTAAGAATAAAATTAAAAGCAAAATGAAATAAGTACAACAATTTAACAAATATTGCAGTCTTGGCGTAAGCAATTACCTAATTACGTAATTATAAGGCATCGATTTTACAAACGTAGCAGATACTACAAAGAATATCAAGAATATCCTACATTTAGGCCTTTCTATTATCAATGCACATTAATTAACAAAAATTTTAGCTCAGTTTAACTTAACCGTCAGATAGGTATAATCCAGCCATCGGCTGATAAGTGTAACAATGTGCCCATCAATTTTGCTGCTTAATGAATTTTCATTTAATCGGTATCATTGTATAACAATAAATATTAAATGTCAGACGGGATATTTATTTACGAATTGAATTACCTATGAATCAGTTTGTGACGTGTGTTTTTATGCACTTTTGACCTCATTATACTTACTCTTTTTTAAATGAATGATCCTGCTTTTAAGCGGAAAGGAAGCAACGAAGGCCAACATTAAATATTGTAATTTAAATTCGAACATCCACAGATAATTTCCAGAAATGACTGTTTGTCATAGACCGGTAGAAAGTAGTTTGATGTTCTCGATTATTATCACTTATCCCCAAAATAATAGCTAGTTGCGTAGGTTCCTAAGTTAAACATTATCACAAAGTTTTGAAGATATGGCAGCTTTAAATCTAGGGTCGTGGTAGGGATGAATTTAATACTAGGAACATCTATTCAAGGACATCACAAACGTAATTATTTCGAATTTCGATTTTATTATTTGACGATGGAGCTCGGCATTATTACTTTTGTTACTTAATATTACATCTTGTTCTTATTAAAGTCAATGAAATCCTTTACTTGCTGGATTCCGTAAATTTAGTAAATAACCCGGATGATACAAATGTTGAAAGAGACATGTCTGTTATTGAATGCAGCCTTTATGTCCCACCAATCACATAATGGAACCTTTTTCACGCAAATTTAATGTTTTGGCGTTGAAGTAATGGGTTGGCCGGTATCCACCCACGACTTTTTTCACTTTGAGATTCCTGTTAAATATAGTGTTCCTCAATCATAATAATTTACTACAAAAAGTTGTTTTTGTTCCCAGGTTAAAAAAAATAAATATATTCACACGTTGTGCTAGGTTTTGTTAGGTCAATAAAAGTGTGGGGACCCAACTTCCGAGTTTTGCGTTTTTACTATTAAGTGGTACACACGCCTTGAAATGGCTGTTCTTTTGACTCTTAACTGAGCTGCCGCAAGCTCATGTTGCGTTTGCGTTGAGTCTTCATCCAATAAAACTTACGGTTTCACACTTTCAAACTTTTGAGTCTACCCGGGGTGCAGCTGGTCACTAAGATCTAAACCACACTTTTATACAATTTTTACCAATAACCCCACGTTTTATACTGCACAACGTCAACAACAAGAAAGCAACAAATTGACTTTTGCTCATTAGAGCTATTTCAGATTTAAAAACTATTGAATTAACGCTTAATTTAATGCCGTATATTAAGTAACTTAAACCACTTCCGAGATAGTTTTACATTAATTTCTTCTTGGCTTACATCGTTGGCATTTGCATAATAAAGATTTTAAATTTGCAGAATTTTCAGTTTTCAGTGCATTCTAAAAGTCATGAGGCATAAAGTACGTAGCTTTTAATTTTACAAGGCTTCAGAGTATATTATTGGCAAATTGGTGTTGTCTCTGTCAAAAATGAAAACATCACATCACTATTTTAATAGAACGAGGCCCTATCTATTTTGCTTACTACTTCTTAAAGCCTTAAAGCTTAGACCTTGTCGTAGATATTACATAATACTTTAGCACACACATCATGCTCATTCATGGACGCCAAATCAAAAGGCGGAGGTAATGAAAACCTAAATTCAAAGTTACTCCAGACCAAAGAAGTTTTTTTGTTTAGTAAAGCATAAATTCCGTGCCATTAAATAAAAAAAGTGTCTAAGCTATGCATATTTCAATTCATTTAAAAACAGCTCGAATGCCAAACACGATACATAAATTAAAAAGAAAATTGGTAAGCGGACAGTTTAACAAAATTGGCTAACATACCAGGTTTAGAGCTTGGAAGGAACTAATAAGGTTAGTAAGAAATCCGCATATTCAGCGTTAGTATAAGGAACTTTTGGGTCTTGTATAAGAAATAAAATTTTGGATAAAACTCGAGAGCAGTCCTGCGTTGTCATTGGTGCGAAGTTCATGAAATGCTTTATTATTGATACGAAAGTAGTGAAGACCAATTTGTTGTTCCTCGCTAACCTAAACGCGGATGATATCGATGGTTTCTTTGCAGCACAAAGTGACGAAGAACTAGAATGCCAATGCGATTAGATTCTTTCGCGATTTCACATCTCATTTTTATATTTAGGCAATAACGCCTGTTGTGATAGTATGGTTGCTCTTAATTTTAGGGTCGGTGCATACAAAGACGTAGTGGACATCTACGATATCCAACTATTCCACATTATACAAATGAAATTGTCGTGTTTGGATAAAAACAGTTGCCAAGATCGTAGTTAGTTCTTGATCTGAAATGGTTTTAAGAAATAAATTTTATAATGGCAATAATGTTAATGTTTTACATAATTATGCTTTATTTGAAGCTTGCAGTTGTCATTCACATCTCGAAATTGTTTTAAGTTTCTAAAAACATCCAGCAAAACCAAATAGTGTCTTATATGGTTGCCATTAGTTACCGGCACGTTTTTGGGATTTTGTTTCAACGCAAAATGGTTAATTGTCAAAAAGATTATTTAGAAGAACTTGTAGGTGTCTTTAATATGCAAAAATAACTTTTAATGGTTTTGGTTCAATAATATTAGTTATAAACCTCTAAAATCCGGACTTCAAAAGCCAATTCTCCTGTTTTTATGAAATAATGCAGTCTAAGTTGTTTTTTTAAACGATATAATTACATTACTTAACATTTAATTTTATTGGAGGTACTACTAGCAGTGTTGATGCTTCCCAACGGAACTTAATTGTTTTTTTTTGAATAAATTTTCCCCTAGCTAAATGATGTTTATGAATTTATTCATTGTCAAAAAATATGTTTCTGTGTAGTAATGTTGCACCTATTATGATGTTAGCAAAAATATATGATGTATTGTGGTTTGCGTTAGTTTACGAGAAATAAGTTGTTAATATCTATTGTGTTAAAATTTATTGTTAATATTTGACTTAATTTATTTATCTTCTCCTGACATCAAGATATTCTTGGACATAAGGCATGAGTGATTGTTGTCTCAGAATCGTTTTCATTAAGCCTTTATCCCAAGTTATCCCCTGAGAAGGGCTTTTTCCTTCGTAGTTTAGCAACTTCAAAGTTTTTCATTAAATTTCAACCAAATGTCCTGTAACTTAACATTTGCGTTTATAAGAAGCGTTGTAACTAATAGGCAACATTTTATGCTTCGAAATTATCTTAGTTGTCTTTCCTGTCCTCATTCGTTTAATACACGTTGGCTCGTATTTAGGTTAAAAGGCTCACCTACTGGCGTTCTATTCAAAACTAGAAACAATTTTACCTAATTAATACGCAATATATACGCGAATCAGACTAGGTAATTTTGCATTTTCTTAGGATTTTGTTGTAGTTTAAAAGCAATAATAAGACCAACCTATTGTCTCTTCATGAGGGCTCGTTTTTTGTGGATTTACTTGATTCTTTGGGTTGACGATTTGCCCATACTTTTGACAGCCAAAAAAAGCCAGTACGGTGTTAAGAATTCAGTCCTATGGTTATTGTTGTTATTTATTATTAGACAATATCATAATAGTGAATTCTATGTACTTACTCTTGCAACGTGCAGGCCTTGTTTTTGAGATACTTAAAAATTTCTGAATAGCTTTGTCACAATCATCTTCCATTGTTGTCCCCCCTTATTTGATGCTTCGATTATCTCAAGCAAAGCATGTGGACAAGGCTGTCTTTAGATATCAATAAAATTAGCAAGATTTTGTAGCTGTAGTATCACAACCTCTCATCTTCACCACAGTGTGTGTTCCGATTTCACAATTTTACCATATCTTTTCAGTGGTGAAAAATCACCACTAAATCGAGTAATTGTTTGTTTGTTTATCTACAGAATACCCTTAACCGCAATGAGCCGAGCAAGACGCATTATTGAGACCAAAACCACTTTACCTCCGGGAATAAAAGGCCACCCGATTGCATACCTAGAGCTGCAAATAACCCTTTTCCGCTGGACAGGCCGTCACTCTCTTAAAGGCGCCCGAACCGGAGGAACGGCTGCTGCCGGCACCTCTGGTGTGACCGTCCGGGTGGTCTGGTGGGGAGAGGACGATGACCAGGGGGTGCACTTTCGTCCCCGTATTGCCCATCGCGCTGGACACAAGCAAACCGCAACGTCCACCTGCGCTCGCTACCCCATATGCGTTCCTTTGCACAAAATGCAAATCTATCTCGAAGGTAAGCTTTTCAGGCCGCTGATGGCTTCACAAAATACTATTTTTCATCGCCAAATCTTCCAAGTATTAAAAATTACCCAATATCTGACATTTGTACAGAATCGCCACCGCTCGCCCATTTCACTAAAATAACTAGCACCTCAAAAGTATTCTCTTTCTAGTTTATTTTATGTTTGATAATCCGAATTCTGTAATTTGAATTTAAAAAATACTAACATAAGCTGTCCTGCGGAGATTTTCCTAGTGTCTTGACTTTGTTTTCCTGAAATTGTGTTTATTATTTTAGACATGAAAAGTCTCTTTCTTGATGTGATTGACGATTCCAGTGGATTGACAATAGGCAGGGGGAGGCTTGAGAATCTCTCATCTTTAACTCCACAGAATCCGATCAACAGGTACTCAATAATTTTGCTTTTTTTTGATTTTTGCTTTACTTTTAACTTCGTTTTATCTCCAGGGTTGTTGCGGTTGCAAACGCTAAGGGCATGAAATTTGGCGAATTGACGGTCGGTCTTTCTATTGAGTTGACACAAGGCAAGTTAACGCAAATTTATTAATTGGTCGTCTTATAAATATACTTAACATCTGGTAAATTGGCTTTTTGAATGCCAATTGAAAGAAGAAAAGGGCTTGAAGGATGGCAGTTTCTTATCAGCGTGTTTCACCAAACATCAGGAAATATAGTCGAGCTGTCGTAAAACTTGTGCTTTTAAAATTCAAGACATCTAAAAGATGTGTTGGATCCAATATCAACAACCGATTCCGGTTTACCGATAATCCATTACTAGGCTTGCAATCACATGCCTATTATTTTTGTTGTTGCCCATCAAAGGCTGTCGTACTATCAGTTTCGTGTGTACGGCCCTACATTTCATTTCCTCAATAAGAATCCAGCGCATAGACGTCTGCGCACGGTGACCATAAAAGTTGTTCTTGCTAAATCCAGTTAATAGACTGCTGTCCTGATGTCATAAAGCTGCGGATAATTCTAGGTAATTTACTAAAACGTATCAAATGCCGTGGTATCCTGTACCGGCTGTGCTTTAAATGGCGCAAACCCGTCCTGAACCCTTGTCGCGGTTCAAGTAGAATAAGACATCTTTTTTTATATTAGCCCCACATCCACTGTTTCCAAAAGTTCAAGGAAGCGCTCCTCGCACCTTTCACCGAAGCCCCGCGCCAGCGAAGAGAGCGCCAATGGCTTCGGCTGGTGCCGCACCTCTTCGCTCCGTTCTGAAGCCCTCGTCGTTTAACTCGGCTTGCACTCTTCCCCTAAGCAACTTTGATCCCCCTTGCGCGGTGAACCGATTGCCTGCGGCCACTGTCGACATTGAAGTAGGTGGATTGAATTGCTCTGCCGCATGCCATGTTGGGCTGATCAGCAGCTCGGTTTGTGCTATTTCTTCCCCTCTGTGTCACTGATTTACAAGCAACAGCGTCATGCATTTGCACTGTAGTTTACGAAATCTGCTGTTATGTGGTGATCCACCTGGTTGGGTCATCTAATGTAGCGCACGTCTTTCTCTTTAGGTTGGAGGATGTTTCAAGAACGAAAACTTGAGTTGCATAAACGTGAGGAATTTCCGATAACTTTCTAGCCTCTATGAACAGTCTTACGTTTGTAGTAGCATGACCAGTGGCCAAGCAGGTATTTACCAACCACCATTTATGATGCCTCATTAGTTTCGAACGAAGAAGGGTTTTCAGGTGCTGCTATTGCTAACTAAGTTCCATTGGTCCATATTCGCTGCATTACTCTCACTTAGGTAGAATCGATAAATGAAGAGCCCTCAGCAGTAAAACATCTGGAAGGAACCCTTCCTTGTCAGGAGCCAACAGTGGAAAAGGAAGCAAAAAACGGATCCACCGACGATGAAGGTGGCTTAAACGCTGAAGTTCTGGCTCGAATTCAGGCGGCCTTGGATGAGAGTCGCCGGCTCCGAGATCAGGTGATCGGCTCCGAACTCGATGATGCAGCTGCACCAATGGTTGCCATAGCGACCAATCCTCATGAGCATTCTCCGATTGCCCTCAATAATCAATTTTGCCAAGGGAGGTCGGCAGATGAGCAGTAAGCTTGTTAGAATACGGTGGTTTCAGCCTCCACTTTATGACGAAATATTGCATTCTTCAACATAAATGAAGCCTATTATACTGCACACGAAAGTCCATAGAACTTTTTGCTGTTGAAAATCCCATTACACTGCAAAAATAGCTTCTTGAGAGTTTGTTGTAAATAATGTTGGCAAACTGCGCTCTCACAGTTTGTTCTTATGCCGATTATCACGCATTTATTTAAGGGTGTGTGTGGGTAGTTTAATTCGGCTATTCGTATTGCTTGTTTCGAAAGTCAAATAGCAGAATTTGGTTTCAAGATATTTATCAAATGGCAAGAATACTATTTGTATTTGCCATCAGCCTAGTTGCTGCATAGAGAGCATTAATTTTATAACTGAATTTTTCCGACATCTGACGTTCAAATCTGGCAATTTTTCCAGAAAATGCGGTTTATTCATGTATCATTTCCCTTCCCATGCTCGAAAATATTGACTTACAATTAATAGATCTGTGGTAATTTGGGATTATTTATAAGAAACGATGAAGGTTTTTTGCACCGACGACACAGAAGGGAAGATTTCTCAACAGCAGAATGCAGTCGGGATAACGAGAAGAAATTGTGGTGCTAGCGATGGAAATATTTGTCTTACCTTACCAGATATTGGTCATTTGTGATTTTTACGAATGCTAATTATTGCACACGGATACTACTCCTCGTAGTTAAACTAGAACCAATTTGTTTATCAACGATCGTTTTTCGAATGGGCCCAAATCCATATTTTTAATTTTACTACTGAAAGAACATAAATAATGCATACTGAACAAGTTTTTGGACTATTTTTCGTTGCATTTAAAATGGACTTGCCAAGCAAATGTTTTTTTATTAAAGTGTCGCAGATGTGTGCAGTGCATTAAGATGTATTAGGATGCACTCTGTAAGTTGCGCATTCTCCACTTGCTGTGAAAGTGCATTTGTAGAAAAATAGACTGCTTACAATCTTTGTGCATCACTTACGTTTTATAAATGGACAGTCTATTTTTTGTGTCGATACGAAAATTCCATTATCTTTTCTCAACTAGACCTACAGATGGGGTCTCAGAGGGTATGCTGGAGTCAGCAAAACGCGATTGGTTCGTTGCACCTGTCAGCCAAACTGCGCGATCTCTACCCGTCCAGACCGAGGAGGCGGCGACTCTCGCTGCTGCCGTCCCAGGTACTGTCCCAACTCTGTGTTTTCCTACATTCACATCCAGTGACCTTGACGACTGCCCTCTCCCCACCCAATCAAACTCTGCTTTGATCGTGAAGCGATCAGAAGTGTTTTCCTCGTGGGATTTAAAGTTGCCTTCTATCTGCGTGGAATCCGAGATCAGGTCACTCACACGCATGCCTATGGATTCCCCACCGTGTGCAAATCAAATTTTCGGTTTTGTCTGTATTCAGCCGGGGATGATGACTTATCGTGTCGCAAGCCAAGTGTGGGTCTAATTCGTCGGTGACTGATTAACCCTTTGGCGTAAATGCCTTGCTTGCAGCAAAGTAGCACTTTTTGGTTCCACTCACATCCAAAGTCACCGTTATGTTGCTGCTACTTAGCTACCTGATCCCCTTGCGTGTCGAAACAATGCGAGTGGATCTCCTTTTCATGGAAAGGAAAATGTATACACAAAGTGTAGGAATTGTTTTGTGATGCATTACGCATGAGCCCTTAGATCGGTTTGAAAACGGCAGAATGGGTCGAAACCTTTCGATTTCTGCTGGTAAATTTTCGAGGAATGTTTTTTTTATAGGAAATTATCACTGATTGCCTAAGCGTAGATTCCGATTGGACATACAATGAAGTTGAAAGCAGTGGTGTTTCTTGGTATTAGTCATTTAACCTGAAAGCATTTCATGATGCCAAAAAAAGGCCTTTTGTAAGAGACTGCTGTCTAACGACGCGAACTTTCGACGTCGTGAGTATTGATGGTAAAGTAGTTGAGAGGGCGACAGGCACGAATTCGAAGTTTGCAGGCGCGAAATTTGTGATACCTACTAAGCGAGAGTTCTTGGTCTCGCCAAAGTAAAGCGGAATGCCTTGGGCGCCAGTCATTCAGACACGGAGGCCTTAGTTGATCCTGTGGCGTGAGTCAAAAGCCAGAGTATGGCGGTTCAGCGGAATGCCAGCTTTAAGTATTGCCACTGGCTGTTGGCATCGCCTCAAGCATGTTCTGAAAGCGATATATCTCTGTGAATTAAAAACGCCAAACTAGATTAAAATTGGATTTCTGCGAAACTGATTTCTCCCATGGCCAAAGTGCCTCAAAAATGATAATGTTGGAAACTGCAGGATTGTGTATTTCTCCTAGAGGAATGTTTGACAACCAACATTATCAGTGTGCAGTAATACGCACAAACCTAAATTAGGCAGGCTATAAACTGACCGACAGCTAGCGATCATATTTAGTGAGGCGGTCTAATCCTGCAGTAACCTGTTTCGACTTCGTAACACTGGTGTAAGCAGATTATTTTTTTGGTGGTTTCGGCATTTAGGCCAGCAAAAGAAAGAAGCTTTTCTTACCTTGAGGGCACTCAAAAAACGCTCGTAATGTTTCTTTAAATTTTCTCTCGTTGCCTGCGACTGCTGAGGTTAGATCTAATCGGTGGGATCTGGATTTTAAGAGATGACACTCGGTTTGTTTCCGTCTTGTTACAATGTCTAGAGGCACACTATCACACACATGTGGCGACTCTGACAACCTTGCGTCCGTAAACAAAGTGTGGTATAATAGCCAAGCCAAAGCTTACACCGTCCACCACACACGCTGTTTAGAAGCAGATTCGCTTTAAGGTTTCTAAGCCCGTCCTGATTTATTTTGGCTAATCTACAAAGCTTCAGGCAAGTGTCAACCTCTCCGACCTCTTTTTTCTTGAAAGAACCCGTTAGTTATTCAAATATCATTGGCCTTGTCCACCTCCTACAGACTCCTACTTATGCTCGTTTAGTTAATCTATAATATCCATAATCTGCATAGATGCATGTTTATTTTAAAGAAACCCTTTGTACTCCATGTTTTCTTACATTAAAACCTACCAAATTCATTTATGAATGGTGCTCAACATCAGCACTGCGGCCAAATAAGGCCAGTGCTTTATGACGGTAGCTTATACCTCCCAGCGGTTACCCTACTCGTTATGTCTTCAAGTCTGCGTGGACTGTGGTTCCAGGAGCCCGGTGTTGAAAGGCGTGCGTGAGAATAGGGCTTTTATCTGAACCATGCACAGTTCGGTCTGTCCTTTGCACCCGGCAAAAATGCCTTTTGGCTTGTGCTCTCAATCGCCTTTCTGCCTTGCAGCGAGTCATAATGCGGTTTTCGATTTTGGCCCTGCACTTGCGGAATACAGTGAAGAAGAAGAAGAAGATGCGGCAGCGGCTAACTGCGATGAAGTTTACGCGATCGACGATTCCACAGATACAGACCTGGAGGCAGATGCTCTTGTTGAGAAACTTCTCCTTCCACACACCGTGAGCCAATCCTTATTTACCATGCTAGGCGTCGCAACCACCTTCTTAATTTTATGTTATAATGCTACCCAATGTGAACACGAGTGCTTGCTGGATATTATCTAAGTCCTGCGGGGTCCCTGTCAGATTGTGTTCTAAAGAGTCTCCTTGGGAATTGCAAATATTGGGCGTCCTCTATGTAACAAATGTCCAAGTGCCTATTACCCGGTTCCCCTTGCTCTATGCGCCTTCATGCGTTCAGCTTGGTGTTCTGACGTGCGCTATCAGTAGGACGCTGGTCACTTTGGTTTTTTTGGTTTGGGGGTTCGGACTGTCTCCGGTTGTGTGTTTATGTTGGCTTCGGTCATCAATTTCATCTGACACCCCTGCAGCGGCTTCTCACTGTACTGTTTCCGCCACAGCAGTTTTCCTGGAGCGCTGGAACGAATGTCAGCAATGGCGGCGGCCCAAGCCCTCGCTCAAGAGAGCTGAAATCCACTCTACGCAGCGATACGAGACTTCCGAGTGCCTCTTCACCGCCTCCGTCGACATCGTCTCTGACTAACCCCCGCATATTACGGAACCCTGTTAATGACTCGCCTTCTCGTTGCAAAGTGGTCGGTAAGGGGGCAATATTTTGCTCACCTTTAAACGTGACTGGGTTCCTTGCCGGTGCCTTTAAATATTTATGATTTTATTTTGATTTGAAGAATTGACGAATGTAGAAATTTAACAACTATCATTCTCATACGTCTACCAAGAAAAGAGCTGGCAACAATCCAAATTTCAACCTCTTACTGTCATTTGGGAATTTGACGGAAGAGAGGTGATTTGTGACAAGGAATAATGTTTGATTCGATTCATGAATCTGTTTCACGGGAAATCGACATACTGTGGTTTTGTCGACAAATCTTTCCGATGGATGTTGTTGGCCAATAGGCTAGTGTTTAGGCAATTTAACTAATTGATTCTTTATGTCTACACAATTTTTATGAAAGGCATTGTAATAACATACCATGTTTTAGTGAAATTTGCAAAAGGGAGCGACATTTTGGCTCTCAAAATCCGTTCCCCTTAATTCCAAAGCTCTTATTTTCCTAGGCAGTCCAACAGGAGTTCGGTTTGGTTTCCGGCGACTGACATTCCCGGCTGAGGTATGGCGTGCAATGGCCATTGTTCTGTCGCAGCATTTTCTCTCCAAGCCCTCCTGTTCTGTCAAAAAGAAGCCAGGCGTTGACATGAGCCGACACTATGGCGGCGTTGGTGATGCGATTCGACCAAAACCAGTATTCCTTGAGAGAGAAAACAGGACTAAATGTGGGCAGCCGGTGGGCAGGGGTGCCACTGTGGCTGGCACAACTCCAAAGAAAGCCAATGGCCACTGGTCATCCCCAAACTTGGCTCCAACGTAGGTTTTTTTCCTAAAATCTCCCTTCCTCCTTTTTACTACGTTCATCTTTGCTATTAAGTCTTCCTCGTTTTGCGGCGTTTCGTTTACTAGCTTATTGCCTCCCACTGATTTCTTGTGTGCAGTGCTTCTCAAAAAAGCATGCCTTGACTGTCCTTCCGACCAATTAACATCGTTTATTGAGAGGACAGGGCCTAGATTTACACAATTCGGACAATCTTCACCCAGCTTCCCCGGTACTGTTGCTACCACTTCTCATCCCCCACTCCCCTTTTTCTCCCGAGGTCTTCTCTTTCCACAAATATTCATCCTCTCACTTCTGCTATCTTTCTTTGCCTTGATCCACTTCACCTCTGCTTATCAAAAGTGCTAATAAGTCTGTTGGTAAGGACCCATTTCCTCTACATTCTACTCCCCTGTTCTCCCTATTTACTACTCCTTTGAGCGATGGACCTCTAAGGTAATCGTGTCTTCCTTTTAGCCGATCAGCGATTACCGCGAGTAACAAGAGGTGGGACTTTGAGATCGAGTTGTTAGTTCCCTCTGGCCTTGTGAGTGAAAGAGCAGCCGCCGACCCAAGTTTTCATCCGCTGGACGAAGACGAGACCCTGTGGTGTCAGCGCATTGCCTTGAGTCGCGGTGTCACCAAACAGGTTGCCACACCCGCGCCTCCTGGCTCTGCAATCGACGACCATCAGCCCGAGGTGCTTCTCGTGCCTCAGCACAAACCTGGCACCACCAGGTTCCCCGAGCCCCTTGTGCTGGCACCCCAGCCCTCCTCCACTCCAACTGCGTTGCCTGTTCGGCTGAGGCTTTTCTGCAGACCCGAGCTTGAGTCGTGCGATTCTGTGGCAGTCAGAGCGTCTAAGTCATTGGTAGGCGTTGTTGTACCTCATTAAACGTGCTTTGTAATTCTCTAACTAGCAAAAATTAAATTAAGTCAGGAGAACTAATGTGGAGAGATTCGGTCAGAGGAGGAATGAGTGCCAATATCGGAGACTTCGGGAAAGTAAATAAACTTTAAAAGGGGTTAATTTTAGGTATAACAATGAATTTTGGATGCTGATTTGAAGAGATCTTTGGTACCCAAAGAAGAATCATGTTCTCTGCTTGGCAACAATGCTGGTCTGAGTTGCTAGCGAGGAGTGTAATCCTACCTTATTGCATGGCGCGAGTTTTCTAGAGAAAACGACCGATTGCATATTCTTGTCTAACAGTCGTTTGTTGTTTTTTAACTACCAACAATCCGCCCATTGTAGCCCACTCTGAGATGCAAGTTTTCTGGTCCAGAATCAGTCACCTTTTGTCTTCTCTACGATATACACGGAAACAATCTGGGTGTCGCCTCCTGAGCAGGCGTTTAAATGTCGCGTGTATCACTTTTGTTCCGTCTAGTTGATTGGGACCATTGACTTGGAGTACACGGCACTCCTGTCGGCGCTCTACCAACTGCCATATTCATCGCCAAAGTCCACCTCCTCCAGGAGCCCAAACCCAGTCCCGAAGACCCTGCGGGTTCGCGTTGATTTTGTTCCCACGATACAGAAAGGTCTCTTTAAAGAGCTCCCTACCGCATTCGTGGAGTCCCTTCTTCAACGTTGCTTCGGATTCATTAATGTAGAACCTGTCTGGAAGACGTTGAGTTCTTCGTCATCCACTTCGTTGCACCCCGGGAAAGTAGAACGATTTAACTTAGTAAGTACACTATGAGGGTATTCGCTTGAATCTTTTTTTTCATTAAATCTACACTGCGATTGTATATATTGGTGTTCAAATAACCTTCCATATGATGCGATTATTAACAAGCGTGAGGTATTTTGGCCTTGAAGGCTAGTGTGGTAGCTTCCGTGATGTCGACGAGTGCGTCGCAGCTTAAACGTCGTCTTATCACCTCTTCAAGTACAAATATGCATTTCCAAAAGCACGGTGAACGCCGTTTATACAAATGGCATCAAACTAAGTTTGGTGAGGCAGATTACTCATCAGGTGTTCACAACCACCTCTGAAATAACACTTCGGTGCCTTGTTTCATCTTAAATTACGTTTCACGCGATTGTGATGGGGTATTGTTGTAAATAAACTACCACACGTACCAGGATTGAGCAAGCCGAAAAGATGCCATCCGAGACGTGACCCAGTCCTCGTATGGCGAAACCAGTGTGCGTCAAAGGAACGCTGTGTGTATTCAAAGAGTATATTGTGCATTGGATAGCACAAGTAATTAAACATCTCAATTCATATTTCAATACAAAGACAGGGTGGTGCTCACTATGCTTCAGCTGGATGGCCCTACTCAGAATTAGTGCCTTGAATGTATGTTTTGTATTCGCGAATGCGGATTATCCAAGTGCTGTCTTACTAGGCATCGCGCATTAAGTACCTTTCAAAACATTACTATCGCGTTGAATGGGGCTGGCCTGCCACCTGCACTTGGGGACCAGTAGTTCATATCAGTAAATACTAAACCTGCTGTTTTCATCCTCCAGAACGAGGACGAGGTCCCCATACGCGAAGAAAGGCACGCTCACGTTGCCATCGACCTACCCCGCAGTGTAACGCGTCGTTCCTTCCCACCTCATCCCGGTCCCGCAGGGCAATCCCTGCGCCTCGACGTGCTTCTTAACGTGCGTGAGGCACGCCACCTAAGCCTGCCCCAATCGACCCAGTCCGAGGGCTGTGTGAAACACTCGTACATTGTGGTGAGAACCCCCTGGTGCAACGAAGACACCTCCTCGGAAGTGGCCATTGCGGCCAAACCCAAACGCTTCCAGTCTGCTGTAGCTTGGAGTTCTGGCTCTTCCCCCCTCTACCACTTCGGGCTTCGAACCTCGGCTGTTTTTTCTGAGGTAAACCGGAATTCTGTCTTGTGGTCACTCGTACAGCCCCATTCAAGCTATGACTAATAACTCCTCAACACATTTCTGATTTTTACCCCTAATCTCTCTAAAAAAAATTCCCTTGTTGCGTTGGATGGTTAAAATAGTGTTTTTCTGTTTGAGCGACAAAGACTGGATCAGCTGCTCTAATTCTATAACTTTACTGAAGTGTTAGTTCTCCTTGTTCTCAGGAGCTATTAACTCGCCTCCTAAAGACCTTCATCGCCATCGAAGTATGGGCTCGGCGCACTGACAGTGGAAATGAGAAAGACGTGCTAATTGGTCTGGCCAAGGTTATGACCTCAAGACTCACCGAAACTTACCAATTACAGAGAGATCCTTCTGCCCCAGTGTCGACACAAACAGCTGCCGTCAGGGCTCTCCTAACTTCACACGTAAGTGTACTCAAGTTGGATGGATTTTTAGACCAGATAACTGAACGCAGAATGCTTTTGGTTACGCCGTTTTCAGTTGCCCCCGGTGGAGGAAGAAGCCTGGCTGCAGGTTGTTTCGCCGTCCACGGGCAAGGTATGCGGGAGCCTGCAAACTCGCGTCGCAGTGGGCACGGCCAATCAGATCTCCGCTCTCATCGACGCCGACGCGAAGACTGCGGCGTCTTCTGGCGTTGATTGGCGCAGCATCGACTTTGTGCGCTGGCCGCCCTGCGTGTCCGGGGGTGGTGCCGGCGGCGGCGGCCGCTGCTGCTCCCAGGCCCTCTCGTCCACCCCTTGCTCGTGCAACACTGAGGCCGACTTGGAATCACTTAATGGAGACGTTGTTATTGTATCTGGTGAGCACCGACTTTGGCAGACGCAGATACGACTATTGATGCGAAACCATTGCTAAGTATGAAGGGACATCAAGTTAGTAAATTTACAATATCACCTACTCCCTTGTTGCTTGATATAAAAGTCAATTATCAATAAGCACCCTTTTCTGGGTGGCTATCATATGCAGGATTGTACACAGTCCGTTTTAAAACAAGCCATAACCATACTGCCGGAGTAGTAGATTAAACTCAAACCCACATGCAAGGTTATCAAAAGCCTCAGCAAGGAAACAAGAATCCCTCTTTTGCTTGATTTCCTCGGTTCGGTGGTACAATGTATGTAAGCAAAATCTTTCTATTGAGGTCTGTATGTCTGTCATTAAGCCTTACATTTCTGATGCCCGATTTGGTCCTGTAAAAAAGCACTCAGTGTGCAGATCTAATGTTTTCCGTATGTTTTTAGTGAAGCACTCCCTAGACATTGGCCTGTGCTCGTTGACAGGCTTTGTACCGGGTCTTGCAGCGACGCTCCAGAAGGAGTTCGGTGGTGGAACGTTCCCTTCCAATGACTGCGACTGTTTCATTCAATACACCATTCACCGCAGTAAGGAAGACTTCCTTGTTTATGCAGTTGATGCTTATTTCGCGTGATTTTTGTCCGTGATACTTAACACACAAATTCCTGATGTGCATCACATTCCGTTTTCTTGTTTCTCCATATTTACTTATATAGATGTTCAAAAGTAACATGGAGCTACACGTGCTCGCCTTCGTCACTTAGCAGTAAAACATTGTGTATTTAACAGATTGGCAGTTTCCTTCAATAATCCGGAGTCCTCTCCGATCGTTGCGACCTCTGTCTCAAGTTAGAAGCGGGAGACATCAAGGCGAAATTGGAACTGATAAGGAGGGGGAGGGCGAGGAGGGATTCTCGGCCGAAAATTGTCGCTGGAATGTGCGCCCGCTGAGCGTCAGTGTTAGTGGTGGCGGCGGAGCAGGCAGAGAAGGCGAAGGAGGAGGAGGCGGTGGTGGCGGTGGGGAGGAGCGGGAAGAGTCTTTCTGGCACGAAACCCACTCGCACACTTTTGCCCTCCAGGCCACCAACAAGGAGCGCCTTCTGGGTGACGCTCAACGTCTGGGCAGTCGGGCATTTCTTGCATGGCTTGGACAGGGTATGTTGCTTTACAGCAACTCGGAGGAACCTAAATGCACACTTACTAGCACTCATCCACATCACCTTCATAAACTCGTTTTGTTTATGAACAGAAAGCAAGTGGCCAACCAGTTGCGTAAATGAATACTCCATTTTATACTAACCTACGTTAATTGATCTAGCTTTGTTCAACGGCAAAGTAATTTTTAGACCACTGAGAGAATTTAACAGCGGTTTTCGTTGAGGAGTTTAAATCCCCAACTAGTCATCTTTTTAATGTTTACAAGCTCTAATTTTTTAAGATAAATTGTGGCAAAATTTATGGCAACTTATTAAGTATGTCAACACTCAAGTCTTTTTTAAGATGTCGACAAATAATCCAGCCAAAATTGACAGAAAATAGGCCTGCCTAGAGCTATTTTCATCAAAGACTGGCTGGCGTCCGTGTGTTCCCTTGATTGACTAGGTCTAGTCATAGGAAACGAATAAACCACTTATGAACGAATCCTTGGCTATCGAAAAGTACATTTCTTTATACTTTAAGTACGCAATTTCGTCACTCGTAATCAGGTTTTATCGGGGTAGGTAGAAAGAGCTTTTGATAGGTCACATTTACCACATATTTTGACTTTGCTTGGTGTGCCTTGAATGTGGTACAGCTTTAGAAGAACAAGGAGGACGATTGTTGATAGTTAAAAAGACTAGCCTTATCATTTTTGGAGGTAATTTTCCTGACAATAAATCGACACTGACATGGCTCCATTTCATGTTTACGTATAGACGGACATGACGACGGCGGAATTCCCTTCGAACTCTGGCTTCGTGTTTACTCACCTAGACTACGGGATGTCCTAGTGGCCCGCGGAAACCTTCAGTGGACGACGTTGGCGCACAAGCTGATGCCTGCCTCGTTGAATGCTCTCCCTGGGTCTTCTCCTGGCGGATTAGAAGGCGATTGGTGCTGGTGCCTCTCTCGTTATCAACTACCTCTATTCGACGTCACGTCGGGTCAACTGTCTGCACATTCACGTCTGAACCTGTCATACAGGTGTTTTTTTATTTGATCTTGTTTTTGCTAGACACACAAGAAAGGTTCATTTCATTGGGTCCTCGGAATCAGACTCACTAATCCCTTCCTCCCATCTTCTCGTCGTTTTAGCTCTTTTACTCCGCTTGTTGCCTTTGACACACACGCATACAAGTTCCATTCTACCGATCACACCTCAATCTGGAATTTGCTCGGCCTTCGAAAGTGCTCTTATTTCAAACGTCCATCTAGGCTGTGAAATTTAGGGCTGTTGAATCACGTTTTGTTCGTCAACTTACAGATCTGTTGATTGTCACTTTGATGCCTTTGTTGAACTTTATACCTTTTAAATATATCACATTCTTAACGAAACAGTGCATGTTTAGACTACAATGCTCAGTTCGGCGCCCATCAGAGCTGGGTGACTTCCGTGGTGGATGCGTCTGTGATGGCAGACAGGATGCCCGTTTGGTCTCCACAAGCAACACACCAAAGCCTTCTCACGCCCCCATCTTGTCGCCTTCCACTGCTCACACGGGAGTTCACCTCCACGTAGACCTTCACTCCCTAACTGGACTTGGAGCAGCCGCTTCATGCAACGGCACATCGACTCACCTGAGAATGCACTGCCTCCTTCTGTTGCCAGCCGAATGTCCCGACCATGCCCCCCTTCCGCGGCTACTGGCAACATCTGTGTCTAAGAGCCTGCCAAATCCCCCGCATGCTAACCACTTAGACACGAGACTCGACGTCCTGCTTCCGCTTTCGTGGGTTTACACTACTGCTGGCGGCCATGTAAGCCTCTTTTGAAAGGTACTGTAAAATTTAATGCGAACTTATATTTCTCAACGGTCCTTAGATTGACCTAATGCAGCTCTAAACGACGGCAAAATACGTGTCAGCTTATGTACTTTTATTCTAACTTATCACTGAAGCGCGATTAAGGGTAGTTTTGGTGTTAATTCAGTGCTGTTGCGACGGATATCAAGAAAAAAATGGTATTTTGTAAGACCCTTATTCTCAGTGGTATCTGTACTGTAACGTGTGGTTTCCTTCTCGTGACTTTAGTCGAACAAAACCGATTTTGCGAAAGCGCGAATTAGCGGTCCAGGAGAAGAGAAGAGCAAATTGGCTTTTTCGCTCGCTGAGACCCTCATCCACGGGCAAAGTGAAGTCGTAAATAGATTCGCTTGGGTGTCTGGGTGTGTCAAGCGACCCTGTCTGGTGGTTCAAGTGGACGTTTGGGAGGAAAGAAGGAATCTGTCCTCTGTGGGCGATGTTGAAAGTGATGCTCTATCAAGTCAAGTAGGAGTGCATTGTCTCTGGAGTAAGTGCTTGTGAAGGTCTTTCCCTATACAAAAATATCCATTACTTTTTTGTTGTGGTAACATCCTTCCCCTGGCATCTTGAACCCTAGTGTTCTGCACAGGTTACTTTATTCTTCCCTAGCTTCGTCAAGCCTTCGTTTATTCCTGCTTAAACGGCTCTTTTTTCAACTTTCTCCAAAAAATGCCACCCTTTTAGATATGGATTACAAGAGGCGTGGAAGTGATTTACATCCCGGGGAGAGCTACCACCTGATTGCTAGTTGTCGCGTTCCACTAGCAGAAATGGTTCTTGCTGGCGTTTTCGCACCACGATGGGTTGCTTTGCTCCGACCGCCGACGCCGCCAGCGTTCACCGGACCGCACCAACGATCGCCACTACCCTCATATCGTTTGGGAGGCGCGATCGAGATTTCGGCAGCTTTTGCGTCGCCCACGGCCAGACTGAGGGTACTCAACGAGGTTCTGTCTCTTCCCTCTCATCTTCCATTAGAGACTCTGCGATCCTTTGGCGTCTACTTACCGTGTGATAGGAGTGGAGGCCTCGCTGCTTCACCCTGGGAGGATGGACTTGGTGAGTGTGGAGACGCTCATCAAATTCTTAATCGCTTTTCATTAAACACCCTCATACTACTGGTAAGCCTTTTTCTTGAAATCATTGTTCGGTGTCATTCTTGCTCACGGCTAAGGAGCCAGGTAGAAACACAGCACTACGTCACTCATCTCCCTCAATTATTCCTTTTCACACATTTTAGATGAGGCTCGGTGCGGATACAAACAGATTAGTCTGCGTTTTTCTGCTGCGCGTCTTCCCACGGAACAATCACTCCTGAAAGACGCCGAACTGGTAGATTACCGGCAGCGAGGTCTCCGCGGCTTCTTTGTTGCGCGTACCACCTTCTTTGGCGACAACATTCAGGTTACCTGCCCACATCCTCTTCCGCGAGAAACCAAAACGACGGCTGCTTTGTCCATTGGGACAACTAAATCGTTCAATGACGCTTCCTGTGTACTAGTAAGTGTTTTAACATTAAAATGCTATCCATGATTGGCATTTCCTTGCTGTAATTGCTGTAGCAATTTAAAAAAAAAATATCTACAAGTACCGTGCCAGGACATTGGACTGTATAACCACACGGACACCTCTCCACCTCGCGTGTTTCTTCAAAGATGTTAACTTGATTGCACATGAGATCACAAGGACTCATTGACATTTTAAATTCGTGTATTATAGTGTCTACTAAACACTGTATAATTTTTTTATAACTAAGCAGAATGTGTTCACTTCTGAGGTGTGCATAAATTTGTTTATCATTCAGTAGGAATTCGTTCTGCTTCGGTCAAACACTAGGGCGATGGGAGTGAGGTCCTTCACAGGGGTCGATAATTGCCCATCAGTCTTCTGTAAGGTTTATTGTGTGAAATCACGGATACAACACCGTAGGCCCACTCTAACACGCCAAATGTCTCCTTTTTTACATTTAAGACGCTTGTAAACCGCATTTTCCGACTAATTTTTACTGCCATTTGGTGAGTATCGATAGGTCTACTACCCATGCTTTTCGTCCCAAGTTCTCAGACGAGTTGAAGTTTTGTGCTCCCGTGGGCCCGCATTTGAGGAGTTACCTAAGCAAGACAGTGTTGGAGGTGCAGCTATGGGCCCAGTGGATGTCCACAACGAGTCCCTCCGACTCCCCTCCCTCAAACACGAGTTCTGCTGCGACTTCCAATGTTGTCCAACCCTCCAGGCCCTCTTCCTCGGACCCCACTGGGTGAGGCGTTTGCGGTGTAAAGCGCACCAAGACTATTTGCCTTTTTCAAATGGCACATTGGTAGTTGCAGTAGTTGTCTTGTGTCTTGGTGGACGCTTAAATGGTGTGAGAATGTTTTTATTTCGTTATATTGAGCAATTGTAATGGGACGATTTTATTGATACAACACAAAGTGAACATCTAGTTAGATGCTCATTAAAAAAAGAATATAATTTGTGGGTGCTACAGGATGCACGCTGTGTGCACTCTTCGGGGCCCACTGTCCCCTTCTCCGTAGCAAAGTAGTAGTAGTATGATAAGTTAGATTCATGTCAAAGTGTTTAACAGTTCAATAATTTGTCAACTCACTTAAATCTCTGCACTGAAAAGTACCTGTTTGACACAAGTTTGGTTGTGTCCAATTCAACTGTAGAAGTAGGGCTCGCTATGGCATTTATGCCGTTTTTGCACTCAAGGTATCATCAACGTAGTTAGTGATTTTTCTGTAGCAGGAGTGCTAGCATTCTACTTGTGACTAGTTCGCAAATGTTCAAATTCCTTCGAACCTCGAGTTTGGAAAGGCTGGTTCTCTTTATGTGTATAGGCGATTTGTGGGGATTTTTCGGTAGAAGCTTGTTTAACCAATTTAAATATGGTAAAAACGCGCGTATGTTGCTCCCCTCTAACGTTCATCGGAATTCCGCAATCCACTAACTCTAAAAGTTGACAAGACACCTCACACTTCTGCGCCAACCTCACCTTGTCATTCCCTCTTTTAACCACTTCTCTTTTTCGACACTACGAGCATCAACGACTAGCAGGATTGTAAGATAATTGCTCCACTGCTAAGACTAGTGACCTCGATGCGAAACTATCAATTATACTTCGAACAATTCACGACTTCGTGTTCCATGAAGAATTAGTAACTGCAGCATGAATAACAATTTCGCGTCGTCCTCGACCGAGTGTCATGATGGTGAGAGCTCTCTCTTATGTTGGCCCGTCACCAGCGTCGGACCATAAATTTCCCTAGAGGCGATGGCTAATCCTGCAGGCAACACGATGACTGCGTATTCCACCACCAGGTGTGATCCGTTACTATGGGGTTTGCGTGTGCGGGGGGACGTAGCTGGGTTTATCTTGTGAATGGTGAGGACTGATGGTAAATGGGAACTAGCGAGCAGCTTGTGGCATCACTGGTGCCAATCAACGTCAGATAAAGGAGCCCAGACAACCTCCTACTGATGAGTCCTTTTTTGGGCAACAAAAAAACCAAAACCGGAAGGGAGCCACTGGAAATTGACTATGCGTTCTGCTTTTTCCTGACTAATACAGTCGCTTGTTGAGGGTGCATTTTTGTGTTTACTCGCTACAATGCCTAGTGATTTGTCAATATTTATGAATTTGGGAAACAAGGAAATTGAATCTCTCTTATGACAATCTTCCTTCTGTACAATTCGGACCCCGGACTAGTGGGCATTTTACATACCACACACAGGCTCAGTTCTACCCTTGTATATATCTTGGAGTGATTTACCCCTGCAAATTGCGAAACTTTCAGCTCCCCGGCGCCTCGATTTCTCGGCTCTTTCCACCTCCCAATCTTCCGACTCCTCTGCAAAGACACTTCGTGTCGGCGGGAGTTTGTGTGTACTCCAGAAGCCTTCTATTGGGCTTCCTCAGCAAATGACTCACCAGGGCAGGCTGTTGTGTATCCTCTGTTCCAACAGTCGGTGATTAATCTGCGTGACTTATGGGTTGCAGCCACCCTAGAAATGACCTCCCTCCAGACGCCCGAAGCTCTTCCCGAGGTGTGTTTGCCCGCGCAACCCTCTGTGTGTGGGTGTGCATGCGCCTATCCTCTAAGGGGTTACAAAAATGCACTCCTAACTGCAGTGCATTAACTTGTAGCTAACAGCGACTGACCATATACAATGCTTTAAATTTAAGGCTGTCGATGTGATATTAAAATCTGGTTACTCTGAAGTGTGGTCTCTGGAAACGACAACCGAAAATGACACAGCTGTTAGCGAAATTGTATTACGGCTAATGCCATCTTTTAAATTTCGCTTGTTCCAAAGGGTGGTGTATGGTTTTAGCCAGTGATCAATTATGTGTTTTCGACAGAATACATTTTTTAGAATAGACCAGGCTTGCGATTTCTGAGTCCACTGATTAGCACACCCTTCAGAGTTGACGTACCTCCGTGAGTAGGCAATTGCACAAACGGTTACCAATTATAAAAATCCATGAAAGAGCAGCATTGTGCAGTATGTAGTTTTAGAGGACACTAACTAAGTTAAAACGAATCCTTACATTCTTGTGGATTATTTCGGGCTAGTCATGCAAAAAGGTCCCTCGCTTCAAGTCTCACATGCCATAGTAGTTACAAGTAGCCATTTGAACTCTTCTGGATATTTGCCGTGGAGTCCGAGCAAATTAAACAAAAAATTTGACTTTGTGCTAACGTGACCCTGCAGTGCTTTGATGTTAAAGTGTTTCGACTTGTTCAGGTCACTGACGACTCCGCCTTACCTTTCTCTGCCAACTTCATAAACGCATGCATGTTACTTGCACAGCACCCGAGTTATTTCTATTTGACATCCTCCTTTTCAGATAATTTTACGCTTAAGTTGACTGAAGCCAATAGTTCTGTGATGACTGATCAGTAACGCTAAACGGATTACTTCCGTTTCATTATTCATTTATTTGATACTTCTGCTCAACACTGATTATACTTCCCTTTACGCAATAGCCAAAAGAACCATCGCGTGTCATCGCAGGAGCGTCTAAGAGTGCTAAACAACAATTCTTGCTCTCGTGGTTACCAGTCTCGAGAGTCGATAGTGAACGAACGAATCACCGGCAGTTGGGTCCACTTAGGGTGGAAAGCAAGTCTGTTCAGGGTGAATGCGTTCGAAGTTCCGATTTCTTTCCAGCCTATGTTGTGATTGAGCGTGCTAATCGACTCGTCCCAAGCGACGCGTGAGTTTGTTTTGTAGTAGTTCTTTTAAACACATTACACAAAATTCCGAAAACATCTTACTTTTCGCAGTTCAGTGAAATGTTGACTTTGGGTTTTGTAGCGATCAGAGCCCAAACTCGGTAATCATGAAAAAATCTATAACGGATCTTAAGTCACTTAAACTCCTCGTTCCTAAGGTCGAACCCGTGTTGACTGTTAACTTGTTTCCAATCTTTCATTACAAATTGCCATTAGTCGCTTCATGTTGGTACAGCAGGCCTGAGTTGACGGCCTTGCAGGTGTAAGCAACCTTTGGACGCATTTCACACAAGTGGATGAGTTCACAAAAGTCCCTCAATCGCTGCACCGATTCAGAAGAAATTACCAAGATTATGTGTTTCAATTCAGCGTTTTTAAACTCCCAAATCCCACCTTTGTGTTTGACACATTGAGGCATGAAAAAGATTTTTAGTGATTGTATGCTTTCATGCGTTAATGCATACATTAATGATGCACATGTCGTCAAGTATTTTAGGAGAATTCCATTTCGTAAAAATTGTAACATTTTTTTAAAACAAGAAATCGTTACCATATCTCGAAAACTTCACGAATTTCTAATATTGAATGAGTTGGGAGTTGAAGATGTTTTGATGCAAAACATAGTTTTTTGAGGTCCTATCGCATCACCTTTCTTTTTGCCTTCGGTTTAGGCTGGGCGTAGACCCCTGCTTTTTGCTGAGCTCTCCGCAGAGCCTGTCCCAAGTTGGAACATTTGCAACATTTATTGTGCCTAGTGCAGACTACTGCTTTGGCGCTGTTGGAGAAGGTTCACAACTTTTGCATGGTCGAGACGACGACGAAGGTCCTGAGAGGCTTCCCGGAAGGGTTGCGGTGACGCCTCTCTCCGACGACCCAACGTCACCCGTTTGGGAGTACCAACGATTTGCTTACCTGCCAATCTCACTCACATCGAGTCCAAAGGTGCGACTAAAGTTCTCTAACTACAAACGCTCTGTCTTTGCGATGCGTCGACGAATTGGTTTTGGGAAGGTCGTGGTCTTTGAGCTATGTCGTTGGAGTAAATGTAAAGACGGATCTATCTTGGCTTCTAGATGTATTTTTCTGTAACATCTGTGAAAACCACGCCTACTTCTTTGCAGTTATTCAACTCCATGCATCTTTTATTCACAGAGATTTTTAAATCATGTCAATTTTAAAACGGCAGCAAGTCTTTTTCGAACAGTTTTGTGTCGCCATTTATGCACGTTTTGAAGGCATTGAATTTGTACTTTGGTGCTCCAATTTTGCTTACATTTACATTTAAAGACCTCTCAACACGTTTTGCAATTTTATAACTGCAAACAGGGTCTCGCTGTGGACGTCTGGCAAAAACACACGAATGCGGAGCAGCCACGACACTTGGGGACAGCCAAAGTGAATCTCTCCTCCCTAATTCTGCCTCCACGATCAGCTGACTGCGGCGGGCTGGAGTATGTTCACGGCTGGTACGAGATTCTGGACAGCTATGGGACGTCCAGAGGTCAGATACTCGTAGGCGTTTTCCCCATCGCTCCGGGGGAGGAAGATGGAAGTGGTAGGCGTCTATGTCCTCGCCTGGAGAGACTCTTGAATCCCTGCAGAACGCCTCTACAGTCTCAGGTCCTCTCCCCCACGAAACCAATTTTATTGCTTTCCTCGAGCACCAACAGAGAGGAAGTAGATGTGAGCTACTTTCCTTTGAATTTTCTCCTTGCCACGATGTACCAAGGTCGTTGGGGTCGTGGGGCAAAGAACTCGACCTGGCCCCTTATTCAGTGACTCACTTATTTTTATCAGGATTACCTTCAGGACTAACTTTCCGAAGCCCTCGTTTAAATTAGTGTCACTTTCTTAACTAATCACACATACGTCCCTCTCGACTCCCATTCTTGCATTCTGCTACTTAAATGGGCTTGGAATGAACAAATCCATTGTGTGTATTTGAGTCATGAAAACCTAAAACGTCTTCTGCCTTGGCCACGTCAAACACGTCTTTCTGTAGTAAAAGGTGTCAAGGTGATTGCGTCCAGGAAATGCAGTTGGACTACGTTGTGTTGTTCATCGCAAGTATCAAAGTCTTGGTCAGTGGTTTCCTCAGTGCTCCTAATAGCTCAGTTTTGATTTTCTCTAATGGTAGATGGAATGCACCACCACAATTTGCAGAACACCCAACCAGAAAAATGAAGAACCACTAACCCGAGGACCCGTAAATCCGGCGTTGATGGACCAAAACGCAGCACATGGTGATGAGAAGGCGTTTTCCGGCGAACTACGCGACCAGCCTTGTCACCGAACTCTCCCTGTGGTGAGGATTTCCTCCCGCACGCTGGACGGACAACTGCCGTCCCCCAGCGGACCTCAGGGTGAGGCGACGGTGGACGAGGGCGCCTCTGCGACCAGCGTGTCCGCCCTCCTAATCACCCTCCAGTGAGTGTCATTTTCCTGTCAACTGCAGGTTACAACGCAAACTGGTGATTGACAATCTATTATCTGGAATCAAACTGACTGCTTGGAAATCACTCATGGTTTCAGCCAAATGAACACTAATTCTGCTTTGGTATGGCTACCAAATTGGCACACTTCAAAACATATTTGTTTTTAAAATTTGGACCATGATTGGTGGCCCTAATTTAATAGCAAGTCCTTAGTTCCTTCTCACTATATCCGAAATGAATCCAGGCAGCCGCAGCCACAACCCTCCGGTACTAGCGAAATTTCCATGTTGATGGCTTCACGGGCACTATGCAACCACTTTGAGCCCCAGCGTGAATACTTTCAGCCTTTATCTTCCCAAAATTTCCCATGAAACAGTGCATCGCCTTGTACTACCCTCCTATATGCTTCTAGTTTCATTTTTGTTTAATTTGCATTTGTTTCGACGGTGTATTTTAGTCATGGGAATGATTTTATGTCCATTTAGATCTCAGCTAGGAGAACTGGACATTCAGAACGCTCGCTTAAAACAAAAATTGTCGAATAATTCTGAGGCACCGTGCGGATTTCCTGCGGTAGAAATTAATAGTGGATCGCATGAATTCCGAAGAGGTCTGGGTTCTCATCAAGACAAGGGTGTTCCTCGCTGCCCTACTTCAAACAGGACCGCTTCCGTTGGCGGCATGAAGGGAGATCGGCTGAGGCAGCCTCAAACTCCACACTGCGGGGCCATTCTCCACTCAGTGGGCTCAGACCCTAGCGTTCAAGTTGGTCAACACCAACAGCCAATGCCCGTCAAGGGCTCTTTACGCCAAGCGTCCAATTATTGCTCAGTGCCTGAAAACTGCGCTGGTCATTGTGGCACTGGAGACAACAACTCGAAAGTCCAGACCAATTCTTTCAGGTCCTCTGCCACCTCGAAGTGGGGGTCATCCGTGTCTGAAGCAGGTAGGGATACTTTTATAAGGATAAGATGGTCACGATAGTCGCCGGTACCCTCTTCTTTAACGCAGACTAGATTTCACAGGAAGGTTATCTGCACTGCATCGAAAAACGCCGAATAAGCGAGACCAATATTTCGAGTGTTTTTTGACTTAATACTCCAGTTGGATAAAGAGCTTGTATTCTATTTGAAGGGAGACATCTCGTTCCTACGCTCCTACTAAGTCCTACGCTTTTCTGACATGGTACCAGTTTCTTTGTCTGCGACAGCGTCTTCTCAGACACTGCAACCTCAAGTCACCTCTTTGGTTCATTAGTGTGATTCTGGATAATTCATTAGCACTAAACCACAGTCAAGCTCTTGGTTTTACCATGAACATAAGGAGTAAGAAGTGTGGTATGGCCCTATACTTAGTATCCCACAACGATGCTTCTAATAGCGCCAGACGATTTCCTCAGGTGAACGCAATAGGATACACAGAAGCCCTCCTGGAAAACGTGCATTTGTGGAAGGGGTGCGAGGTGTAATTCAGACAATTTTTCGCTGGAAAATAAATCCTACATTTTGGTTTTAACTTCGCCCTTTGCCCTTTTAAAGAGGTACTCAACAAGGACGAATTGGTTGAAGAGGTGATTGTTAGCGAAGGGGATAGCATCGACGATGTGTCTGCATTTTCTAGTGACGGTGACAAGGAGCGAGGGGGTGGCGATGAGGAAGATCAGAGTATAGCGATCTTCGAGTCGCCCGAACCCGAGGGCCTTGAAGTGCCGGGTTCAGGTGCTCGGCAAGACTCGCAGCCCCCGAAAACCGGTATTGATTCAGCAGATGGTAAGGTTAACCTTGAAGGAGAGGAATCGACCGAGGAGGAAGATGTGGTCCTTTTTCAAGTCGATGACAGCCCTGAACTCACCGTCGTCAATCGTTGCTCCAAAAGTTGCGAAAGTGTCTCAATGAATGGTAGGTTTCGGTTTTGTTCAAAAAACGTGAGTGTGTCGGCCAAAGTCACAGGCTATGATTTTAATGATTGATGAAGATAACATATGTGCATTTAAGTAATAAAACGCAGAGATCCATTATGAATCAGACGTGTTAGTGTGAACAAAATTCTGCACAGAGGGCGATTTTATTTCCTAATAATCGCCTTCCATTCACAGGTGCTGCCGACGGGGAGAAGCCGGTGCGTGTGTCCGACAAATGCGCCAGCGAGCCCAACCTTGCCATGAGGGGAGACACCGGTGTCGATAGCAGAGAAGATGAGGGCACGTACAATCTTGACTATGAGCTGTCAAGTAATCGCCACTTTACTGGCGTCTCTCGCGCTTCCCGAACTCCAGCCGATCCTTCCCTGGAGTCGGTTTATTCAGTGGCTAAGGAAATAAATGAAGCCGAACAGAGGAGTTTTGTTTCTTCCTCCACCTCGAGCATTCCATCTTTTGACGCCTCTGGTATATGGCGGCAGAGACGACTGAACAGCGGTGATTACTTCAAGAGTTTAAAAGAATTTTTTAACATTAAGTTGACGAACTTGTGCCTTTATTGTCATAATAGTTGATCTATCGCAATGTTTTCAATTAAAGAGCAACATATTAAGCTAACTTTGGAATGTAAGCCGCAATTCGGAGTTTTACGGGCAACGACTAAATGTGTCTGTTACTTTTTTGAACCAATACGACGCGCGTTGATGGGCCCTCACCCTCTATTCTCGGTTTTAGGTGCTTCGTCCAATGTAAGTCAAAAGGAAATCTCGCCGGCAGAGCGCAACCAACCCTCTGAGGGGCAAAAGGAAGGGAGAGGCGAGTGCTCGCTCACTTCCTCCTCGACGTCGGATGTGGAGGAGTACATAATGCGTGTGCGCCGTGGCATGGTGCGAAAGAACGGCCTCCTCGTGTTCAGCACGACCGGGACGGACAGCGGCTCTGACGTGGCAGTACCCGAGGAGACCAGACTCCTCGTCCACGAAGAGGAAGCCGAAACAATAACCTCGGTGTGTTCACAGGAGTGTGCCCCCCGAACTATATCAGCTGCGCAACCTGACAGGTATTTAATTAGCCTTTATTTGTGTTGACAGCCATGGGCATGTCCTGCATAGATAAGCAGAGGTCCCATCTTCAGAACATTTTTTGCGCTCTAGGTCTTTTGCCCTGTTATATTTCGTACTTCTATGTTTCACATTAATTATTCAAAACCCCATTTCATTTCTTGCCAAAAAATATCATATTCTTTTTTTAAAGTCTGCTCTGTTATGTCATCATTGAATGCTGAAGGTGTTAGTCCACTAGATCTCGTGTGTTTTGCCCCTTAAATAAACGAGGGAAAATAAGTTGAAATCTACTGTCACCGCCTTCATTTCCAGAAATTTATTGAAGAGGTTGCAACGCGAAAGGAGTTTGACAGGCATGGAATGTGATGAATTTGACGAAGGAACAGCTGTCCTTGTTAACACGGGCGATGACAGCACTTTGGAGAGCCCGACGCACTCTCCCACGCCTTCACCTCCGGCATTTTTGCCGCCGACCTCACAAGGGACGCCATGCGATCAACACCAGGCCAACCCCTCCGTGCCCCACTCCCACCTGCAAGCACTCAGGCTCGCTCGACAGGCCGCGGAGGCGCTGCGGCAGAAGCAGCCCGTCCTCAGAAGCTCCCAGTCGCAGCTTGCGGGTCGCGATCTAAAGGAGGTACTTGGTCTCTCTTGCTTGCCCAACGTGGTGCATTTTCAAGCATCTGCAAGCCTCATTTTATCCACCCAGGACCCAATCCGTCAAAGAATTCACGCAAATCTCTCCACGATGGTTCGAAGGACAAATTCAACAACAGGAGATCGCATTCAGCCCTCCAAAACTACCGCTGCGGCCATAATCAAAGCCGCGTCGTCGGCGTCGTCGTTGAAGGAGGGTTGTTCGCCCTCTCCAGGCGGGTCACTCAAACTTTCCTCGCGATCGATAGCACGAGCTGCGCGCATCTTCGACATGAAACTCTGAATTTCGCCCAGCCACCTATCTCTGCTGTGGCGTCAATGCACCAGAAGTATCATCCCCTTTCACAACCTTCATCATGTACATCCATTTTTCATTTTGCCAACTTACGCCATATTTTACGAATGTATCATTATTTGGCTAGAATCTACTCGTCGTGGATGAATACCTACCTTGCAGATTTCATTTTCGAATTGAGCAAATTTAAATTGGGCTTATTTAATACTGCTTACTCGGTAAAATTGAACACTGCTTGCTTGCTGATTCCTTGTTTGGACTAGCCACCAACCGTCACAGAACAGTTATAAGTCTGGTTACATAACCACACTTAATACGGCTGTTTTTTTTCAATAAATTTTGACCTTCTTCGAGAAATCCCCAAGTAAGATCAAAAATAACTGAAATATCCAGGTTGTTCAAACCGCTTTATTTAATCACAAAACCTAATCTAATCAGCCTCCAGTATGTCAGCTATTTAACGGAGGTGTAGAATTTAGAGCGAAAGAGCGTTGATGATGACCCCGGTGATTGTGACGCAGATAGCCACGGACAGAATGATGTAATTTCTCTTGCCCTAAAGAAAGCAATAACGTCAATTTAGTAGAGAATTTTACAGCAAAGTCAGGTGGCAGTCTGTCAGAAGTAGGACATACCCGTATTTCTCTGAAAACCAGAACTCCAACAAGAGTAGCGATGACAGCTGGGCAAGTTGTGACGACGGGGAAGGTGATGGGTTCACCCAGGGCAGCGTTGGCGATAAACCATGCCGACTGGGCCAGACCCCAGAGCACTCCGCTGGACAGGGCAGGCAGGATGGCCTCCTTGGCTGGGAGCCACGGCTTGTTCCTCTTGCCCAGACCGTAGATGATGAAGATTACTGTCGAGGCAAGCCAGATCCCGACAAAGTTAGCAAAGACGTAATCGAGGCCTGCTTGGCTAGCTCCTTCAACGCATTTTTGAATGTAGATTGTGGGAACAAATGTGTTGCCATAGAACGATCCTGCAATCACGGCGAGGATGATTCCTCTACAATATTCAAAATTACGTTAGTTTCGCGACCTCTATACGTATAAACAGTGTTGTGAGGTGATGAACGTACAAAGCTCTTCTAACACCGGACGGCATTTGGCTTATTGGCACCAGTCCAAGGCCACAGCATTTCCCCTGTCGTTGGTGTTGCGGTGCTTCGTTGGATTCGACCGCTCCGCTTTCAGCATCCTTCGCGCGGTCATCTTCAGATGGTTTGATTGCAGCATACAGGGCAACGCTGAATGGAAAAACACGATGCAGTTTGGCGTACACAGCACCAACGAATGGACAATGCAGGTTCAATTTTTACCTGACGACTGCGATAGCCACGCCGACGTAGTTCATAGATGGCTTTGAGGGGATTTTGGGAGGGATTCCGAAAACGCCAAATCTACAAGCAAAACATGAATAAATAAACGGCAAATTAAGGAGTTGAATATTTTGAATCGAAATAGAGGCAGCTCGTACCTGCTCGTAGTAAAACCGAACAGCATGTTGGCAATCGACCAAATGAGGATGCCAAGGCTCAGTCCAATCGCCTCGATGATGATCACCGTCAGGGAATTTCCTTTCAATAAGATGCATAAAGGTAAACGAATTGATTCGACGACACTTGTAATAAACTAGCTAGACCGTCACTCACCTGTGGCCCACAAAGCCCCACCAACCATTGCCAGGGGATAAAATTGCGGCACTCTGTAGAGTGAGCCAACGATTAGTTGCACAATGATGCCGACCAGCAGAATACCGGTGCACATGAGCCATTGAAAAGCCGCTCCTTAAAATGGCACATTTACATAAGAATATTGTAGAACAAATTTAACGGACATTGAGTAACTAGCTTGATACTCACCATCACCCATGTCGAATTTCTTGACGGGTATAAGATTTGTGCCGAAGCACACAGAACAGATGATTATGGCCACCCATCCAGCCGCCGGTGTATTGAACTTGGAGTAAAAGTCGGCAGCAGATTCCACTGCCGCCGCTGTTGTCATATTGAGAACTTCGGTGGTCATCGTAACCTAAACGATATGAAAATCCGAGGGAGTAGAATTTTATTCAACAATGCAACCAAGACAACAACAGAGAGAAGGGACTGGCAGCAGCATACCTCAGCCAGGAGACGATACGAGAAAGATGGATCGGAGGCTCGAGCTACCGTCCTTTTATACGCAAGGAAGTGTGAAGCTTGATCTGACGAAAGCAGTTTACAGAAGGTCAGAGCAACTGCTGGTGCGATAATGCGATTAATTCGGGCGATCCGACGGTTGCGCCAATCATTCGTGATCGCTAAGGTGTCATGTAGATTTCTGAATCGACTAACACGCATCAGGAGCTGCTAGGTAAAGGTGAAACGTAGGGTATTATCACAGTTGAAGGTTGCTAATTACTCTGCGGCCTGACACGCCACGAAGTTTCACGCGGTGAAAGTTAATCTGATTTTTACCGATCTTGATTTTACTAAACGACAAGGGCAAAACTATTTCCTTGGCATGTATAATGCATGCTCTGAGTTCATTTTTGATTTTTCTTACTTTTACTTAAAAAACAGAATGCGTCCTGAAATTTTTCTGGGATTCATGACTAAAACACAACCGTTTAACACTTAATTTGTGCACCAATGTTCCATCCATGATATGATTTGGAAGTTTGACTCATGTGCTGTACGCCCCAATGCGAAAATCGGATTTTCGTTAGTACCTCCTGATGGTGCATCATTTGTTCTTTTGCATTCACTTTGAGGTTTCGCTGTTTCAAACCTCTAAAAACCAAAAAGTAAACGTTGTAGGGATTAAGGCTTCGTTTAAACATTAATGAAAATCGTAACCAGCCTACCATCGCCTTTTCGACTGATAGAGGTCAGCAGACCTATGCATTCGAAGTAGCTAGCAAATGTACTTTTCAGACGTGAACGAAAGTTATGTTAATTCTGTTCACGTCTCAAGTAGAGATTTTTGTTCTGTGGTTTCATTGACAGTCGTTCCTACTAGTAATACTGAAAGATACCAACAGATCGACTCAATATGGAGTTGAAACTTCCCCGTCCAGGGCCACCATGGACACACCACGCAGCATCGTGCCGCATCTGCCAGTTGCCCTGTCTGCTGCCGCCCGTCATAACGCACAAAGAATCTAATGATCTCTTTGTGTCATATGACACGTAAACAACGCTTAAAAATCGGATACAAATGGAATAGTTCGAGTGAAATCGTTTCCAGTTACCTCAAAACACCAAACATCCCCATTGCAGCAATGTTTTGACACGAACAACAAAACACGACGCGTATATCAGTTTTTTGATATATCGTTCATCAAACCATCTACCAGGAGACTATATGTAAGTGAGGTCTCATTGGTATTGTACTGCAATAACGACCGAAAACAACGCTTCAGCCTTTTACCCCACATTCGAACGATTGATCTGGTGTCGACATAGATTTACTTTTGACGCATCAATCAGAGTGCTCTGCCCGTCTACATATTCCGTGATGAATTCTCCACTGGATAATTGGATACCAGGCTCTATACTTTTAAAATGCATTTGAAGAATAAGTAGAATGCCTCGAAGTTTGGTTGTCAGAAGAAATAAACGGCTTGGTACGTTTTTCTTCCTAAGTTATGTGTGCAAACCCTTACGTCAAATTGGAGGCCGTTTTCAAATAAACGCCCGCTTTTTATGTTTACCTGCAAGTTATATCAACCTACTCGGTTCCTGGGCAAATGCATTCACTTAAGTTTGTCGCTGGGGTATCTTTAGCGCTAAAATCCCTCAGTATGCCACAAGACAATTGAATATGTATTTGCAGATACGCGCACTGCATGGAAAGGTCTTATTTAACTCGTGCTATAGTGGAATCATTGTCACTTGGGATAAAATTTCATAAATCAAAACATGCTGCAAATGCCGCATGTCTCGGTGTGAAGGATAAACTACACGCTACTTTGGAGAAGCCAGGCTACATTGTCTGCGCACTCTCCTACATTAAAATGCTGCAACAGTTGGTCTAGTTCTAGATTGCTAGAAGACCTTTAGGTTCCGTTGATAATTTCCTACACTCGTTGTGATCGGTAGGTGGGCGGCATATTAGACGCTTGTAGGGATTCGTGTTGATTCATGTTCAATAGTCCAGTCGTCGTAGCTTCCAACACACGTCCCCCCTTTTTTACGGCGTGCCCGTCAGTCATAGGAGGCCGCTGGTTCATTAACCACTCTGCATGTCCCACCACCACCCGCTTTAGTCATGTGACCTCACAGACACCTGTGTTTATTATTGTACATGTCCACTCAACCGCAATTGTACACCCCACAATTTTGTTGAGCGGCCTAGTAAACGTTCGTGCTTGCCATCTCTGGACTTATATTGTCTTCCCGGGTTACTTCTTCTGGTAAAAGGCCTTCAACAGGCTGTTGTTGACCCTGCTTTTTGAGAAAGTCAGATCATGGAATTTCTAAACTCGAACTAACATGAAAAGTCACGTTTTTGCGATTAAGCATACCGAGGAAGATTTAGCTAGGTCAGAAAGCACGTTCTAATAAAACACCACAATCTGATGCAGACGCACAAACGCAGTCTCATTTGGCTTGTTCCTGGGTCGCACCCGACACCTTACAGGCACCAATTTTCGCCCACATTGTCAGGCCGATTTAGACAGAAAGACACCTCACACCTCTCTCAACATGACAATTATCAGGCGCACAGGTGATATGAAAACGACAAGAAACTTATTTTCCTCGGGTCGTTAATTTGGTTCAGTTGCTGAACTATGATTTTACTACTTGCGCAAAATCACTCTCGTGACCAAATACGATGGGTAATGCCATCCCGAAAATCACGTTGTCACACCCGTCTTTAAGGCAAGTAAGTGAAGACACCCAGACAAGCAAATTCTCGTAGTCCAGGCTGTGAGGTTCGTTGACCAGGCCAGACTTTCGCAAATAAATTCAAAGTGTAAAACGATTGAAAAGCGGCGTGGTGAGCGAAAATTTGCGGGTACCCTTAGTACGTTAAAACATTTCAATGTGCCTTTGGGCCGTCTCCCCGAAAATCGCAAAATCAAACCGTTTTCTTAAAGAATGTATTCTCGTGTTGATAAAAAAATATGATCGTAAAATGAGTTCAAATTTGACCAGACTGAGTGCTTGTGGGAGTTGCAGGAAGTAGAATCCTCTTTAAAGACGATGGACGACCTAAAGAACAATGAAGCAACATAAATACGATTATGGAGCCAAATTCACCTACAGGCAAGCGCACAAGTGTACACCCTATACGTTAACCAACCGAAAAATAACGAAAAACAGTCCTCTCACCGGAAGAGGATATGTTTGACGTTGTTTGCTGAGAACTCAAGCGTCTCCTGGCCTCCAATCTTTCTAAAGCTAGGAGTCGATTCCTCTCAATACGGTCTTCCAAGGATTCCTCATTTGCGTGCTGCGTTACCGCAGTTGATGTGGAAGGACGCGGTGGAGATTCGGGCGTAGGGAGGGCAACAAACTTCTTGTCGTCTTCATGGTCGGGTTGAGTAAGTTCTACCATTTCTTGATCAAGATCAACAGGCGGGTGCACGTCGTCAATCTAGGACAGAAATTTTGCTGTTCAGCGGATAGCAGACAATATTTTTCTACATTGGCATTATGCCTCGTGCTGTTAGAATTGTAGAAAGTGTTAGCACAAGCATTCCGGTCATATCGGTGATGGAATACTAGACCGAAAGAGAAGCACCACCGACAGAAATCGGAATGCACAAAATGGAGGACGACTTGCCTTGGGTTCTGTCTCGCCATTGGAATCGCAATCGTCGCTCTCATGGACGAACTCCGAGGAGAGGATGGGTGGCCAAGTGCCAGCACGCATCCTTTGAAGAACTGAGTGGACTTCGCGCTTGGAACCCACTGCTTCCAGTCTTTCCAACACGTCGTTAAAGAGGAACTTGGGTAGCATTCTGTGCGCCCAAGACTCGTACACAAACATCAACTTCTCCAGGTCTTCAAACTACACACGGACAGAACGTTAAAGTTTGCACATGGATTAACTGACCATGACTACAAAATACCACGACTCAATTACACTTTTTTAAGTCTCTGTCGAGTTTCGATTTGTGGTGGGAGACAACTCACTTTTAGTTTATCCATTTTTGTCACAAAACAAATGTTCTAGCACTACGTGAAAACTCCTGAGGTGTTACGGCCTCCCTGAAATGTTCCACTCACAAGTTAAATTCACGACTCCTACGAATGTGCAAAACACATCACACCCACACGACAACGTCTTACCTCGTAACCTCGTCCCTTGAACTGGACCCTTTCAAGCTCCTTTACTAGGGCTGGAAGACCACGTTCACCAAGAAGCCTTAAAGAAGACGTGAAAGAGCGAATATGGGTGTGGACAACAGCTTCAATAAATTTAGTTCATTTAAATTGCTAGTGATAAATCAACAGCGTGGGACACTGCATCAGCCTGTTCGCATTGCAGGCTCTGAGAGATTTCGTCACATGTTTACCACCAGGTAGGGCATTCTGATATGAAAATGAGCCCACTTTAGAAACAAGTAAAGGATTAGTAACGATAGTAACAATAAAATAATGAGCTGCCATACGTAGGTGGATCGAGCTTTGGTAGAGGTCGTTTCACGGTCTTGGCCGCACCTTTTGCGAGTCGCTTGAGTCTATTAAGGACCTCAACGTCCACGTCATCCACACCGGCGTCTACAAAATAGGTAAATCGGTTATTGTTGAACGGGGGGGATGAAGGTAACAAAAATAACCTCGATGCATTAACTTTTACGGTGAGAAAATGGGTGTAACGGCGAAACACATCAAGTAAGTCAATGCAATTTAGTGGGTTGGCACCAAAACGCATACCAACGGGACGTTCGGGATGTTCGCCACCATGTTCACCGTCTGAATTAACTTGCCGATCATCTGCGTCGGATCGAACCGCGCCGGAATCGTCGCTGTCCCCTTCGCCTGCAGAATAATCCTTGTATGGATCAGCGTCGGGACTGCTCCCACGTTCTGGGAAGTTTCTGGCGATGGGAGAGCTCATAGAAGTGAAGTTGGGGAAGGGTGCTGCGACGGCGTAGTCACTGCTCGTCACCCCCTCCCCCTCGTCGTCAGAATCGACGCGCCGCAGACGACGGCGACGCGCACCACCGAGCGAGGCGGGCCGCTCGCCGATGCGGGTGCTGGAGAGGATGGGCTCTGACGGCAGGAGCGGTGGTGCCTCCCCAGGGGGGAAATCAGCCAACTCGTCCAGTGTGTCCGCCTACAACACGCAAGGGCGACTCATCTGGCCCGATGCACGCGATCGCCCACCACCATTCAAAGTCTGGGAAACAACCTATTACTTGGAATTTCTGCACTAATGCACAATAATAGAACTTGACGAAATCCAGTAATCTGTAACATAACCGGGAACCCTACCACCACAATACTTCTGCATTTTGCTACCACTGATTTGAAATTAGAAACCAGATTTATTACATGGTGGCACTGATATGTCACTTAGCTGCAACACTTTTCAGCGTAAAGGAATAATGTGTTAATGTTGTCTAGAGATACATTAGCAATTATAATTAACGCCGAACATCAAGGCCACAATATTGATGAACATCAATTTATTCACCAATATAAAAATCAGGCTACTAACAAATAAGAGTAGCAAATACTTTTCATGGCCAATACATACACAAAACGAATGTATCTCAGAATAGGCGTATATTTCCATAAAATAATGGAGCCTGGAACATGCAAAAAGTAGTGTCCTTTACATTTCGCCGCATTGTGTGATGACCACTGGTACCTTTGGACGATTGTTCGGACCAGTGGGAACATTTTCAATTTTCTTTAAAACCAACATTCCATCCACAACTTGACCTGAAAAAAAGACGATAAGTGGTCAAAGTTAACGCGAATGAGCCTGAAGTTGCTTCGTATGACAACATTTAGAATGCGCAATTGTTTTGCTCTTTCTAGCCGCAGACGTATGCAAGGTGACGAACACAACGATAGACTAAAACAAGACCGTCCTCGTGTTCGCGTACACTCACCAAAGACAACGTGCTTCCCATCCAGAAAGTCACAAGGAGCACAGGTGATAAAGAACTGACAGCCGTTCGTGTCTTTGCCGCTGTTCGCCTGTGCCGAGGAAAACAAAATGGGTCAATTATTTCGGACACCGTGAGCCAACTCCGTGTTCTGACTTATCAGGTGGGGGACACACGCAAGAAAAGCAGTCGGGTGTTAAAAACTAAAGCCAACCTTGGCGAAATGGTCGACTCCTTACATTGCAATATTGTTGTTTTTTTTACGTGAGTGAAGAATGACGAGGCTGGCTGTCTTTGTTGGGGATCCACGACACCCCCAAGATTGCTAATCGTTAATTTTTGGCACTATTTACACTAATTTCCTTGCGTGTGTTTTAATTAAGCTTTTTATCAGGTCAAGGTCAACCCTGACATGAATTAGTGTTCACTTTTGACAACTCTCGCCGCACGTGGCTGACGTGAATAAATCTCTCTACACGAGGTTTGGTCTTGTTCTTGCAGCAGCGTGGGAAGGCCGGTGCTGGCGTCAACAAGGGATCTGGTACCGTTATTTGAGTGGGTGTTTTCTCTTTGTTACGGGCAAACGTAACAGTTTTAGCCTCGACGTACCATTGAAAGCATACCAGGGGAGGAGTGTTTAATTGTAAAGTTCTCATCGGCGAACTTTGACCCGCCGTAGATGCTGCAGGAACCGGTGCCGTCACCCTAAAAAACGAGGCACAACAACCGACATCGTTGAAACCAAACCTGCTCAAATGGCAGATAGGCAGGCGGGCGGGCGTTTAAATTTACTGCCTTCACAAATGTACAAAGAGTAATAGCCACTTGCGATTAGCGGTTCCGTACATTTACGAAATCTCCACCTTGGACCATGAAGTCCTTGATGATTCGATGGAAAGTGCAGTCTTTGTAGCCGGTCGGGACACCATCCTTCCGGTATTCGCCAGTGCATAGTTGGCTGGAAAAAAAGATAACAGGCGATGGCAGTGACTGAAAGCGCTGGCTGTGACAGCAAATAGTGCCTTGGTGTGGCAGCTTTACCGGAAATTTTCGGCTGTTTTGGGCGTGACGTCAGCGAATAGCTCTAGCTGGATGCGGCCGATGTCCTGCCCACCAATCGATATATCAAAAAACACGACGGGATTTTTCGGATTGTTCATTCGCTCAGCTACCATGGGTGCTGGGACCGCCATTATCAGACAGACTAAGGGGAGTAAGGAAGGAAAACGGTAAGGAAAGTTCTATATTTCGGCAAAATCACATATCGTCCGCATTGTCGTGCGAGCGTTTTCACGTAGCAAAACGCAGGTTGGAAACCTACACACGAATCGTGACGGTCGCCACGTTATAACAAACTGGGCTTGCAGAGTTTTACTGATTTTTTGCCATCAAACACGCAAATAAGAAGAAACACACAGAAGTGTATTAGAAAGGACCTTTTTGGTGGTGTATTTACAAGTTGGGTATTCAAACTGTACAAGGAGGGGGGCCTTTGTGCATCAGTGTGTACAACAGTGTGTTTTCTGTAGCCACATGGCTAGTCTTCCGCTTGGAGGAAGTTGGAGGAGCCCGAGGGCGTGGCTGAGGGAGGTTCTGGTTGTTTTCTGGGGCATCAGAGACAGGAGGGTGATGTTGGAGGTGGACTCGGGCTCTGGATCAATGGGCAGCTCGTCAAGGAGGTCCCCGAGCCTCGAGAGGTCATGAGCACTTAGGCAGGGGGCGAGACGCGCCAGACAGGACATCGTCTAATAGTGAGAACAAATAGACCATTCACTAATTGGATTAGAAGGCCACTGCTGACCTCTCTAAGTAGCTTTAAAGTGTTGAACGTTTCGTGGAATTCTAGGGACGCTTTTCGATAAACTAGCATTGCAGTGCCATCAAAAGACACTTGAAAGCCACCGAACAAGAGCTTTACTTACATGAAGAGCTCCAGGTCTAATAGCACAACGAGACATAACCATGACAGATAAAAAATATAGTTGAAAATTTGGGATGCATAGAACAGGAGCACATACCACGGGAGCGTGCTGTGGATAAGTACTGAGGGCGGTTATGAGGACATCGAAAAGGCGATCGGAACAGGCGAGGAGACCGCGCTGGCAGGGGGTTAGTTTTTTGTCACCACCTCGACCAGTCCGGTTGATGTCCAGCTGCACTGCCAAGAGCAACACGTCGATCGACAGCGAACAGACACGAAAGAATAGCGCAGATGCGTCCCCACTGTTGGAAAGCAAAGCAATAATTTCACTGGTCAGCGTGAAAGGACACACAGTCCCATTAATGTGAAATTGAATAAAACAACTGTGTGGACAACTTGGGGAGAAAATGAGCCAGCAGGAATTCGAAGGAAGACAATCCGGCCAGGGCACAGAAAGAGAGAATGATTCAGTGGGAGCAAGGTAGATGCTTTAGGATGGCTGAGAAAGTGGACGAATGTGAAGTGGAATTCCAATGGTTAGTAGAAATACGAAAGGAGGAAATTGAACTTGGAAAGGGAATAGGAGCTGATCCAGCAATGGTTGTAAACAAGCTGGATAGAACGTAGGTGTGAAAGAAGACACGGCCAAACAGAAGCTAGGAGTGGGATGATCGAGGGAGGGGAGGAGAAACATTCAAGGTACAGCGGACAAGTGTTTGACGAAAGAATAGGATCGGTGTAGACTTGGTGGCACTAGGTGGGGAAACGAGGGGACAGGGAACGTCAACAGACTGAACTTACGATTTTGCGAGGTTGCTGATCCAATTCATCAGCCTCGCCTTAAGAAGCCAGCCGATGAGACCGAATCGGTAGGTAGAGGATTTTTTCACGTCCAACTCATTGAATGCCTTCGCAGTGAGGATCAACCGCAGGGCTTTTAGATTGGCCTCAACATTTTCGTTTTCTGTTCGATGGCAAACTTTATCAACCAGGTTACAGAGCAAATCTCGTAGAGACGGCCCCGTAGTCTGAACTGACCAACGCCTCTCAGTGAGAGCGTGAGTGAAAAAATCATTCACTGACGGTTCCTCGGAAACCAAAAACTGGTAGACGGTGTCAAGACTGGAGGGTGGTGCTGAAGGCAGGGAGCCCGAGGCAAGAAGAAGACACGACATTGGAGCGGTCGAGTTGCCGTTAAAGAGCACAAAAGCAGCTAATTGGTACAGCAGTTGGTCGACGTGGTTCTGGCAGCACAAAAAGGCAGTCTGAGCCAGTCGGTAAAATTGCACAGGAGGCCGAGGCAGACATCTGCGCTTCCGTTTGCCGTGCTTACGGACGCGGAACCAGCAGGCGAATAAAGAAGCGTCCATTCGTCTGCCCGATGCTCTTAACAAGTCCGCAGCCCGGTAGACAGCTTCAGGAGGCGAAACAACTGAGACAGACGTCTCCGACAGATCAACTGCTCGAATAAGCGCGTCACAAAAGACGTCCATGGGGATGTTATTTGGAACCTGATTAAAAGAGCACTGACCAGTAAAGTGAGATGTCAAATCATCTAGAAGGGATCGACGGTTCAGACCGTCGACTATGCCTGACTCCATTACTAAATAGCTTCCCCGAGGTATAGAGGACCGCTTTGGAGTGGTTGCATCAGAAGAATTAAGTGGAGAGACTGGCGAGGTCGTCACAAGGGACTTAGATTCAACAATCTAAAGGAGACAAAAAAACAGCCACCTAGTTCATTACGCATGACCAACTAGAAGCCACGGGACTTTATAAACCAAGTCTTGCCAAAGCCAGAAGTAAGACTTCTGATGACTTTCAATTCACAGCACATACCTGAAGTCGTTGTGGAGGTCCATCGACCACTGGCGGATCCGGCTCCTCGTAATCCGTAAGGTCGTTAAACCAATCTGAAAGCGACTTGGAAAATTTCGCGGTGATAATTTCAGTGAGGCTGGTGTAGGGCATTTCCTTCGGTGGGCTAGCAACCGCTATGGAGGGTGTTTGGTTCCTCTCCCAAGAAGACAAATCGGCAGGGGTAACGTCATTTTGTTCGAGACGGCTTTTTGAGGGATTCCCCTCCATCGAATCACTTCTGAGGCTATAGATTTTTGCACGAGATGTGCATTGCACGGAGTTGGATTCTACACAAAAGCCAAGAATCAGGTTGGGAACCAGGTCTTAAACAGCTTTTTGCTAAAGTCGCAGCCACAAATCGAAGCGTAGGCGTCTTTAGCTGCAGCACATACAGAGGAGCCCTGCACAATTTCCAAACAGACATAATATGGGTTGGGTTTTGCCCACCCTAGTAAGTCAAAAAGCACCTAATAGTTCGGATTGAATGAAATGAGGTCACCCCCTAGAAATCAATTTAACTTCAAGACAGATACCTGTAAATGCACACATAAAGCAGCATTTACCAGTGGCAGTGGAGAGCGAATTCGAGAGGTTATAGGGAAGGATCTCGTTGAGATGCATTTATGAGTAGGTGGTACATGTGGCAAATGTCAACAAACATGTGTGCTTAATTACTGTCAAAATCATGCTAAATTTAACAGACACCTGATTTGATGTCTAATTCCAAGATTTCTTGAGACCGCGCCGAACTGGGAAACGAGCATTGAAGCTCACGTGAGCAAATGCAAAAAAGGACCAACCAAAAACTGATTGTGCTCCAGTGTGGCTTTCCTTCTGGCAGAAAAGAGCTCTGCAGCATGCGGCTTTGATGGTGGATTGGCGGCCCGCGGCAGTGGAGGGTGAGAGTCGTTTCGGATGCTTGGTCGATGTTGGTCGTAAAACAGGCGACATAAAACTGCGATCTGAAGGAGCGAAACCAAGACAATTGCATAAGGCGATACGGAGGTCGGTAATTGTGAAATGTTGGACTACTGACATTAGAATAAATGATTTCATTAAATTTCGCCTATGTACATAAGAGACAAGATTGAAGTGGTAAAATTAAGCAAACAAGTGAAAGTGCATCGAACCTGAGGCGTCTCCGTTTTCAATCAAAGGCGATGCATCGTCCAGATCTACGGACGGTTTTTCATTCAACTGATTTAAATTTCCACTGTCGGGAAGTGGTGGGGTCTTGGAGCCGGGTGGAGTGCACGGGGAATCTGAGGAGGAAGCAGAGGTGTGGCCTAGGTAAAAACAATTTCAAAATGCAGGACGATAGCAACGGGGCATCCAGTGGACCAAATTTCGATAAGTGAACTTTGCATTCGATTACCCATTAGTGATCCAAATATTCAGATAAACAAGATCCCGGTTGACGACAGCATAATTTGGTGACTGCTTGGTAAAATTATGGGATTTAATGTCAACGTACATCAGGGGGTATTTGTGGGAAACAAGCCCGCCCATCTCAAAACACAACAGTAAGCAATTGTGGTGTTGTGTGCTTGCTATTCTATGCATCGGGGAAGGCTAGAATAATAACAATTGGGTTTACCTATTTGCACATCCTAGGTATGAACATGAATAAGATTGCGCTGGCGCTAAACCACACAATCGAAACCCAATCACAAGCACTACTCCATGGTGCAAGCAGACAACACAGAGCCCACCTATCACTTTGGGTAGCCACAGGATTTTTTTTGAAAAATCAACTCACTATCTTGTTCAACGACTGGTGGCAAAGACGTGGCGTGGAGTTTAAGTTCTGGCGTGTGCAAGGTGTTTGAGGTACTGGTGGACTTAGCCTTGCCTTTTTGCGATCTAGTACGTCGACTTGTCGAGGTGCCTGAAAATAAAAAAAAGAATTTCCATAACGGAATGCGAACATCACTACCAGTGGACGAATTAAAATGAAGTAACACGATCAGACTGCAATTGGGTTATTTATGTGACTGAATCTAACGCCGAGCAAAACGTTGATGCGCTCTGCGTATTGCGCCGTCACCATTTCACTCACAATTATGGCCACAACCAACTGTCTTAGGATGGAATCATAACGGGTTACTCCTAGTCAAACGTTGGCTGCTACACTTGAACTCATATGGATTAGTTTTGTCAGGGAGATGCCATTTATTTGAGTGAGAAATATTACTTTAATAATTAGACTTAAGGATACAAAAGTCTACTGCTTATTCAGTAAAACAGAATGTAATTCACAACGGTAGGGTACTTCAATAATAAGGGAACGGATAGCGAGTAACTGATGGAACCGAAAAACTGAGCTTTGTGATTGAAGTCTAGAGCAAAATTAATGAGCAAGGTTTGATTCATATGTGAATAACGACCATGGCCCCCATATTACCCTTTTCAGCTTTTTCATCGCTCTTTGTCAGGGGAGCGTTCAAGTCGGTAATGTTTGGATCTAAAAGATCGATACTAGCCACAGCTACTAACTTGGCGAAAGTCTGACTATTGAAGTGTGTGAGTACGGCATCATGAAATACTAATAAAGATTTGTAAAGTGAATTCACAAGTGACAGAAATACCTTGCACGGAATATGCCGAAGTCTCTTTTTTATCGTCACAAGATGAGTCGCGTTTGTTATGTGGATTTCTTCCATGTTCCTCATTTGGAGGAGTAAAGAGCCTAGTAGGAGAAGCTATAGAAGGAGATGATGAGTTTCGAAGAAACGGGGTTTGGGTTGTTGCCCCTGGTGCCTTTTCAGTGGTGGTTCTTCGCTTGCGTTTTACTGCTGAAGATGATAGAAGAGACTCCAATGGTTGCTGCATACAGCGTTTTTCGGATGAGGTTTCTCTACGAGGTCGCTTTTTGGCAAAACTCTGAATGTCTGAATTATCTGTCAGCTCATCAAGATCGTTTAAGACGTTCTCAAGTGCTGAAGATGATGGGGCGATTTTTCGATGGCGCTTTTTACATGGTACCTCATAGATGCAGTCAACATTCACCTCACGTTTACCCAGTTTATGCTCCGGCGCTGAAGTATATGAAGAATTCTTTTGTAATGATTTTGTAGATAACATTTGCGAGGACGTCGTCGATGCTGCGTTGGCTTCAATAAAGACAGAAACGCATGAAGTATTTCCAGTCACATTGCTGGCGATAGGAACACGCTTCGACTGTCTACTCCGATGAAGTTTATGGGGGAGTGACAGACCATCTTCATTGACGAGGTGTCCGGCAGATATTGCCTCCGAAACACGTTGAGACGAAGACAAAGAAGGAGTGGGAAGACCGAGCAGGCCCGCCAAGCCCAAGAACCAGTCTCGGGAGCTTACCATTGATGCAGGGTGCTTGCGTTTCGAGAATGAGATGCGATCAATTTCCTCTTGGACGTAGACCCTGATACTAGAAAGCTGCTCTGATAATGCCATTTCCTGCAGACAAAAAAGAGGTCGGTTGGTGCCTCAAAGAAACACTCCGCCAAATCAAAATATGTGCGGGGTGAAAAACTCGTAACAACTAATCTCTGTCTAATTTGCTCATATTCGACGAGCAAAGCATTTATCTTTATCCAGGATCGAAAAAGTGGTCGATTTAATTTCCATCTTCACTTGGTAAAGAAAACAAAAGACAGGCTAGATACCAAAGTAGCAGGCACCCCACCATAAAAGAGCATGAAGATGAGCCATGTTGCACGGCAATAAGTAGAATTAGTTCGGAGGTAAGTAACAATGGTATTAAAAAGACAATTAGGCAGGATATTTACCGAAACTTTAAATTGATTTCTGCAAAAAATGACAATTAGAGCTATTTAGGGCCTGATTATCAGCTGACACAATGAGGTAGAGATAGGCACTGCAGAAAAGTGGAATATAGGCTAAGAGGCTGATGAAAAGGTCCAATAATAAGAACTTTACCTTGGCTGTCAGGGAGCGAACAGATTCTTGTAGCTTCAAATTTTCCTCGTTTTGGGTTTCAAGCCATCGACTATGAGCATCAACAGAAGTAGTAGATGGATAGGATTGGCGATTTTGATGTCGCAGTTCTCTTGCCAAATCAGCCCTTGCACTTGATGCAGACTTCCTGGCCTGTTCCAACTCCTTGCGAAGGTCATCTCTGAAGCGATTGCCTTCGTCGATCAGATTCCTGTACTGTGCAATTGTATCCTAAGATAAACCAAATAGGTAACGGAGCAATGATGACTTAAATGCATAAATATAAAAAACCTTAAATTAGCATATTTAAAAGTCTATTAGTCGTTGCAGTAAGTAAAGCATATGAACAAATGCATACCCGATACATTGATATTTCTGACCGGAGTTGCTGAACTTCACGGCGATATGAAAGCCCGGCCTCGACTTGGCGTTGCATGGCGACATTGCCGGTGCGAGCACGCAAAAGCGCTGCTTCAGAAGCCTCCAAGCGACGTCGCAAATTCCATATACTATCAACGTCACCCGAAGGTGTCTGGTTTTGGTTTTGCTGAAGAACATATGCCTTTAGAACAAAAGCAACATCCTTCAAGCGTGCTGCGTGTTCTGCTACGCGACGACAGCTCAACTAAAACAATAAAAAAAATCTAACATTTTAATCCCATACTAAGCGTGCTAGCAACAAGAAATAATTTTAAAACTATTACGTATAAGCCTGATGTTAGTAAACACATCTAGCCTACATTCAGCTTAGGTTAATAGGTAGACGACTAAGTCAAAAAAGGTATCTGGATCATCTTATATATTGCACCAATATTCATTAGAGCGCAAAATTTTGGAACCGAGTTCAGCATTCTGAAAGCAGAACAAACAACACCAATTCACAAATTTATTTTACATAAAATATTTAAATAAAGGGCTATAACGACCGTAATATCATTAGAACACATGTGCACAAATCCTACATTTTCACATGATTTCGCGCTTAATATATCTGACTTCAAGTCAGGTTCATCATTATTTAAAATATCCATTCGTGAGAATTATCGACGAACGCCGAAGGTTCAGACCAAATTTGAAAATTTTCTTATAATAAAGAGCAATTTAAACAAGCCCTGTTGATCACAAAATTATGTGTTGAACTGATCTGCTTAAAAAAGATTTACCACTATATTGCATAAGAAAAAAATATTGCTTGTTTACAACCTGTGCCATAGTGTGGAACTATATTGTACTATCCGCAGTTAAACATGCAAATTTGTGACAAAATAAAATAGGAAAAATTGATTTTTGCTATTGCAAAATAGAATTCTTACAAGGCCATCCATCTTTTTAATGGTGATCTAGAACTAGAATTGGTCAATCATGAATAGCGAAAAAATCACGTTGGATTGTGATATTAATCAACAGGGAGATAATGCGACTTATTGCAGTGTGGATGTGGTGAACAAATTTGCGAACTTACAAACATAACGAATTCGGAGACACTGAAATGGATACAGCTCGCATCACAACTGTATACTTGAGAAAGCAAGAAATCCAGCAGCGTGCATGAATATAAAAATATCAGACTACTGCCTTGTTGTGTTTATTAATTTTACCGGGGACAATTTTGCCGTACTTTTTAAATTCACTATTTAACTGTCGCAAGTAAGGACCTTGAGTGAACATGGATCTAATAAATTATCTTGAATTCACCTTATGTCGTGATATTTATTCAAACAGGAATGTAGATCTTCTCTGCATTATTTGATTCCTTAGCACTCTATGACACATTACAGCAAAAAATCGGCTGCTACCTGAATTGTTTACCATTTATTTTCTTTTTTGGTTTAGCCTTGTCAGTGTATGTCGCTTAGCTTCAGTGGTAGTCACCAAAGCCAGGAATTGCTTTGCATGTTTGCAAATTAGATTTGAGGATATCACTCCTGAATTTTGCGTCAATGGCATTCACATGGATGACATTGAAATACCACGCAAGTTCAGCTGACTTCTTTTAAAGCAAATCAAATTTCAAGGGCGAAAAATTGTGTCTACTACAAAACATGAGACAAACATTGGGCCCCTCAAATAGGGCGCTCAGGACTGAATATGGTACTTCAAAACATTTACGACTTTGGCAAATTTTGAGCATAAACCAAAATAATGATAATAATTATGCGTAGACTGCATAAATTTAGCCCGGCGGTAGAAAATAAGAAACCATTCGAACGAAAACCATTTGTCCAAATGCGCCTTTTGCATCTTTCGATAACTCATTTGACTTGAATGGCTTTATATGTAGATAAAATAAGTAAAGTATTGTACACACTTTATTTTGTTGCAATATAAAGGTTCATTTAAAAAAACACATTTTGTAAAAAGTTTTCAGTGCATAACTATTGAGGAGCTAGCAGCGAGTGTAGAAGAATAACCTAATCTTCTGCTTGTATTTACAATGTTACGATGCATTGTGCCATCAAATAATTTGAGAGCTCTTTATCATAGTGATAAAAAATTACATTGATGGGCTAAGGCGTAACAAATTTGGAGCTTTTAATAAATGATGCCGAAAAATAATGGTATTTTTTAATTATGTTTAAAAAATTTAATATTAAGATATAAAAACGCACCAGCTCTCACAGACAAATGAATAATTGCTACGACATTTAGAGAAAACGGCCATTTCAGTCAAAATTTTTTACTAATAGTCTAAAGCAAATTTGATACTGCTTATGAGTCAATGCATATAGCACTAGCACAATTTAAATATTAAGCTCACGTTCTAGTCGGTATTTAGCCTAATTTATTTAAGAGATAGAGCATTGTGTCGCAATCCGTGGATTTTTCTAAAAAAAATTTGTTGCATCTTTACCTTGATGGAGAGCACGATAATCCTGTTACTACCACATGAATAAAAATTCAGTTTTTGACTAGACTACTTATATTATTTTGAGGTTGTTGTCATTAGCAGCGGATTCGCGTGCCTTAGAGTTCCAGATCAATATTTGACGTTCGATTATCGTTGGTATATATGAATGCATTTTTAGCCATTAACTCGTGTTAATCTTTAAATATGTCAAAAAATTATTGTGCACATCAGGTTAGGACGCGTTTTGAAGTTTTCTATTCTTGTGTAGTTTGAAGATGCCCAATCACCAAAACGGCAAAACTATTACGGTGCCATTAATAAATTACCTGAAGTAAGCCTTTTAATTTTTATATAAAATCGAAATATAATGTCACATTAAATATACCTTTTTGTGTGACTAAATTACGTTTTCCAGCAACCTCTTCCCATTCTGTAGTATTTTATTGCTTTTGTCAATCGAGAAGGTTAGTGTCCTAAGTGTTTATTAGTAAAAACAGAGAGATCACAAAGCTACGCTGGAGAAAGTACACGAAATCGGACATATTAGCTGCAAGGAAGGGCAAAAAGGATATGTAGGAAATCTTTTTCTCAGAAACCGCGGAATATTTTGGGTCACTAGCTATTCGTTTATGTTGTTTTTTGCTAAGATCTGAGTCGCCTACATTGATACCGTTTTCGATTGCAGCCATTTAACCAATTTTTTCTAGAACATCAGGAGGTGTAGCTCACTTTTAGTTTATTGGTCCGAATTAGACACATGCGAATTCTGGCATGAGAAATTAAATTTTAGCTTGTTAGGGATTGTTGTGAATCGTGTTTATTCACAACTCTTAAACCGGTCGCTCAACATACGACGCAAGGTTTCCCTTTTCGCATTATGTCGCCAGCAGCGCGGATTCTCAACTCTCCCCTCATTCACACGAATATTTGGATTATCCTCAGACCTAGGTCTCGATGTTAGCGCATGTACGAATCACGCATCCAAGGTATAAATACACACGCGCAAAACCCACACAGGACACAACGACACTATCGTGTTGGAGCTCTGAAGCAAACGGTTGTGTTCAAATAACTATTTCACTCAATGCAATATTTATTTTAAGCATCCAAAACAAGCAAAAAAGCTTACCCGGTTCATCGCAAATGACCAAGGTCACCTAGCTGAGGCACAGGACCGCAAACCAGGTGCAAATCCATTTGGACACTTTCATGGTACTTGGGATGTACCATGCCACATTCCAGGCAACCACGTTGAAAATACTATCAATCGTTCTGCTACTGGTGCTGCTCTTCTCCGAAAAGAAAAGGATTTTCACGACGCATTTGTCAATGAAGTAGAGTCAAAGCGTGACTTTTTTTCCAACAAACGGGTAGGTTATGTTATCGGAGATATTTGACGCAAGTAAAATAGTTTAAAGCACGTGAAAACCAACGATTTCTAGACAGATTATGCTTTTACAATAAATTACAATGTGATGTAATGTACAATAATGAAATGTTATATAATGTACAATAATGTCTACACTTAGCCAAACCTTTACTAAGGCATCCATTGACCTAGAAAGCCATAAGTTAGAATTAAATTTGAAATTAAGGGATTGATTCCCCTAATATAGCCTGCATAATGGTTTTGTCGAAGTTACTTTGACAACCAAGGATGTACTTAGAACTTCGTTACCATGAACTAGTAGGGTGTCATTCACAATTACAAGTGTTTTCTTGTGGGTTCCATATTTCTATAGTTGCGTCATTTAATGAAGATGTTGAAGTGCCTCTTTTGGATCCAAAGTGGTTGATATCTATAACTTAGATGGACATAATAAGCTTAATTTTTCTAATCTCTGTCTCTTTAATCCTAAGGAAGGTTGCAATTTTTATCGTTTTGCTTTAGGAAATTAGTCTTAAGTTTAAAAATAACTTTTTCAGCGCACATAGCACAAATGTTTTAAATACACAAAATTAAACACGGACTATGCATAAGTTTAACTTTAATCCCTACGTTTCTCTTTAAATTGCAGAAGAAAGAAATGGCTGGCATTAAATAGTCTAGTTCAGTAACGTCGGAGCATTTGTTTTTCAACCTGTTTCGATATACTGAAATAAATCATCTAAATGCATGACAACGAGCGAAGTGTCTTTTCTTTTTATAAACGTGAAACTTTTGCTATCGGCGCTAAAACGGTGTAAACTCTCCATACACTTATTTACGTTTTGCAAGCAAGAAAATGCTTACTATTTCCATGTTTGACACGACTAAATAAGAAGCATTTAACCATAAAGGAATTTAGACATCAAGGAGTTGAATTACCTTAACCAAGCACCGAATAACCATGCCCAAAAGGAAAAAACTGGTACTGACCGTTAACCAACTCGGTTCAAGTGAACTAGTAAATATATACATGCTTCTAAATGGTAGAATGTATTATAAGAATAGCAGCAGAACACCAATGACTTTCACCACGACAAAGCAGTGTCAATTGTAATTTTAAAGATCATATTCACACTGTTTAAAATATTTTGAGGTCACTGCGGATGCAGAAATAATGTCCAAAAGCTAAAAGTGTTTGCTCTAATGATCAAAGTCAAGTATTAAGAATCCGAAGTCTCTATTTATTAACCAATTCCGTTATCAAATTAAACCAGCAGACTAAAATTTTTAGTCGGTAAATGTTCTAAAAACTGTCGTAGCAAGCTTTTATTAGGTCTGAAATGGTTAATGCAATGTTTCAAATTACTTTAAGTAGGTTCTTAAACCTCATGAGCTTGTTGTAACTTGTAAGATGATACGTGAAGTCAATAGTTGGGAGTTTTATGTATTTCATTAAAGTGAATACAAAAGAGAATAATAATTGCCTCTGAACAAAGCCGTTGCTAATCTACAAACGTGTTCATGCGCATCAGGCACATTTTGAAGTGTGGTTGTGACCGGCTTTCGAATTTTAAGCATAATATTCTCCTTACTTTGGATGACATTTTACGTTTAAATGATGGTTAAAAGTAAAGTCTTGCAAAATGTGTCCTAAAAATCGCTAATTAAATTCTGCATAAACACTTTGGGATGGTCTTCATAATAGTCCAAAAATAGGTACACAAATTTTCACCGGATGAGATGTTCAAAAAGGGGTTTGTTTGGCTGAAATTTCCTTTTTTCGTTTAATTTCACATCTAAAACTTTCTAACAGTCAATGCTTTGATAGGAAAAGTTGAGTAAGTTATAGATAAATTACTGTGAGAAAGTGGAATCATATGGAAGCAATCTAGCAGAGTATTGTTCATCAGTTAACGATTATTCTCCAAAGGAACATTGAGGGTATCCGAAATACTCATTATATTTAATCAATGCGTAAGCTTTCAAGAGAGTAATTACGGGCTTGACCAAAATCCTCCTATTTGACGTGGCTACCATATGTATTTTAAAAAAATATCAGGCTAATCAGTCTGGTCCTTATTTTCGATTATTTCTTGAAGAATATTAGGTATTTCAAATAAAACACCAAATCTGACAAACGAAGATCCTAGGAAGAAAATATAATTTATGAAGTACTTATGTACACATTTACCAAATTTTATTATTCATTTTTGACTAAAATTATCTCAAATAAAACAGAATAGGACGTCAACATGACTGAACCAACGGGTCCAGATTGACGGCAAATGATCAACATGTAGTGGCTTGTGGCCTAAGCACTACCTTACATCCCTCTAGTTAACAGTCCGTAACAACCCGAAAATGGAGTGAAGAGATTTGAGAGAGAACATGACCATTTATTAGCGTCACGCTAGCCAAGTGTGTCTAAGTGTGTCGATGAGTACATGGATGACATGCATTTGATAACAGCAACCAATGGAAAGGAGATGAATCATTGTCTCCGTCAAGTCAGTTAACAGGGTTCACTCGGTCGCGATCGCTGTTAATCCGCTACAAACACATTGTACGAGCCTAGTTTGGTATAAGATAGGAATCCTTAGGGTTGATCAGTCAAAACGCCTATGCACAAGTGGCTGCTAAACGCATCGTTCAAACTCCACGATGTTCAAATGACAAAAAACCCTTAAAAGCTTCGTGACTGAAAGGAATTTATGCGTGGAAAATATATAGAAAAAATGTTTTCGGGCTCTCCGAATCTAGAAATTGAGACATTCGGTAGACTCATATCACAAAAGTGCATTAAAAAAGTAACTGTTATTAATCGTTGCGTGAAATGAATTGGCATACACGTAGCCAAACCCCGAATTCGTCTAGTAACATTGTGCAAAGATAAGAATTAGCTACGATCCGGGTTAAAAGCAGATTTTAACTCAAATTATTGTGCACATGGCAGCATTATCTAACTACCGGATAGCCAGCTAGATCCGAAAATTTTCAAGAATTTTAACCTTTACCACCACAGCTAAGTAACCAAAAACCAGCAAGTCAATTAATAATTTTGATTAAATCCCCTAAGAAAATGACATCAGAAATTTTGACTGTATGAATCTACCTAAAAAAATTCACAAATATTTTATAAAAGAACGAACCACGGGCACCGACACCCATATTGGTACCGTCAAAATAACAAATAAGTTGTTATGTTTGGCTTTTGAGTGTAGGTGTCGATAATAATTCCTATTTGCTACCGAAATTTACGCAGCAATAAAAATTTCGCTAACAGCATAGAAATCACAGGTTTTTCCAAACTGGGAGCCATAATTGTCACACGTGTTTATATCGTCCTGAAATACACGTTTACTCTGTCGCCCACTTTAATATTTGCTTTACACTGATGTCGCTGTTTTTCTACTTACTGCTTTTGGTGCTGTGTTGTGTTCACGGTGAACCAGGTGACAAAAACGTGCTTGTTCTCATTGAAAACATTGTCATACGCGATTCCCACTCCCAGTTTTTCAAGTCTCTAACGGGTAAAACATTACATAGGATTATGTGCCATTCCTTTTAGACCGAAATTACCAACTTACTTTTAAGTATGCCGACGATTCCACATTGAACTTGAAACAGTTTGGTGAATACGCTTACCAGCATATCATAATATTCGCACCGACAACTAGGGGTGTGTCCTACTTTCATTAAATTATTACAGAATTCGGTGGGTATCTTAACGTTAAGGCACTAACTGATTTCGTGGATAATGGTGGGAATATTCTTGTGACTGGTAGTACGGATCTTGGAGAAGCCATCAGGGATTTCGCAGGCGAATGCGGTGTCGAATTCGACGAAGAAAACACTTTTGTTATTGACCATAGCAATTTTGACGAAATGGATGATGGCGATGTAGGATCCTTTAATTATTTTACTTCAGATTAGCACAATTTAATTATTCTAAATCCAGAAAATGTTGCCCAGGTACCAGTTATTACAGGAAATGTTAGTAAACCTATTCTTTATCGCGGTATTGGGTGAGTTGTCCTCTTCTGTCTACGTAGTTCCTGTAGAATTTCCTCGGACTCCGAAAACCCACTGCTCATAAACATTCTTCATGGATCATCTACCTCTTATTCATATAACATTCGGAAGCCAGTGTCTGACTACCCTACAGCAGTTGGAAAGAACACCCAGTTAGTGACAGGGCTTCAAGCCAGGAATAATGCTCGTGTTGTGTTCGCCGGTTCGCTGGACATGTTTTCAGATGCCTTTTTTAATTCCCCGGTCATGAACAAAGTCACCGGTCTGCGGTAAATGTTTATAAATTTAAATATCAACTTAACTATCACTTAGTAAAGCATACATAGCTTTCCAAATATCTAGATTTGAGCATTCCGGTAATGCAGAATTCGTGGAGCATCTATGGCGGTGGACTTTTAAGGAGTCGGGCGTGTTACGTGTTCGTAACACCTCTCATCACAAGATTGGTGAATCATCTCCACGTCGCGAGTATACAATAACCGACGACATCATTTACAAGATCGACATCGAGATAAAGGATGAAGATGGAGTCTGGAGGGAGTATGTTGCAAACGACGTCCAGGTCGAACTCATCAGGATAGACCCATTCATTCGCCGAAATCTTCAGTTCAAAGGTTTTGCATTCTTAATTTTGCTGTTCTACCATGCTGACTTTAGATATTGCAATTTATATATTTTTAATACCCAGATCATGCATATGAAACCCAGATGAAGCTGCCTGACGTGTATGGGGTTTTTAAACTTGTGGTGGATTATCAGCGCACAGGTTTCACCTCCGTTTTTAGCGCCACGCAGGTGAGCTTCCCTTATTCTCTCATGCATTTTGCTCATTATCTGACATCGACTCTATCTTTCAAGATTTCTGTACGCCCATTCACCCACACCCAATACGAGCGTTTTATAACGTCGGCCTTTCCATACTACGCCAGTGCAACATCAATGATGGCCGGAGTCTTCGTATTCTCGTTTGTGTACCTTTACCTTTCGGAAGGGAAGAAAGCCAAGTCCGATTGAATGAAATTTAGAGCTGCAAAGCTTTATACTAAGTCACGTTGCAGCCGAATCCCCACCTCACTCCATTTTGTATTTGTGGCTAAATAAAAGCCTGCGCGTATGGCTCACTGTAGCTTTGATAAAGTTGTGTTCATGGGTGTCAAAATTTCCTGCGTCGAAACCCATGCTATTAAATTAAATGGCCTTGATAATAACCATCTTCGGATGGTTAGCGCCAATTTAGTGATATAATATATTTAAGAAACAATACAACACATCACAAAGACGCGGGATTTTGAAGGTATATCTGCTTGTTAACCCATTCCAAACTTAGGTCTAGCGTGGGAGGCATTGCGCCACCATCGGGAATGTACGCGTAGTTGTGCTGTCTCATCAGGAAATCCGGGTCAGAGTAGCCGCTTTGCAGGAGGGACATCTCAGAGCTGATATCGTCTAGGATAAAACAACTGCAGCGTGATTTAAAGAAACACAAGTTAGATTAGATAATCGTGTGACCCATTTAATGAACCAACGAGAGTGGTCGTGCAGTCATACTCCATCGCGGAGCTTAGTTGTATTGCTTAAGCGTGAACAAGGCCGTGCTGTGGAATCCCACGACAAAATGCGAAATTGTTAATTGAAAATACACCTTCAAGAGGCTGGTCAGCGAACTAAAAAGTATAGGGTAAAAAGTGTGGTGTAGTTCTATGCTCTTCACACTTATTTGCTTTGAAAATCAGTTTCCATTTTTAACGAAATTACTAACTGAAAATGAAGATAAGAATGCGCGATATGTGAAACCACAGTGGAAAAAATTTCCACAATACATGAATATGTAGAGGTGTCGTGAATTTCCCAAGTCGCATGGTAGCAAGGCGAGGATCTGGCGCTTTCGTTGGGCAAAGGTGGACTAGAAGTAACGTACCACAGATTAGGTGAACGGAGGAAGTTGGGTGGACAATGTATTGATTCATCCAGAGATAAATACCCACGCCGCCAAAGAGGATAAGAAGAAGAGACCATGGGATGACCACCGCCCATAACCTGAAAGATAACCAACTCAGAAACTCCGAGAACTAAATCCTTAGATGATTTTTAGGCAACTGACTCAATAGAGGTGAGGTAACCAAAGCTGCGTAGTGACAACCCCACACACCATGATGATAAATGAACTTGCAGACAAGGGACACAGCTTTCAACTGGACAATGGCCTTGGTTGTTCATCATTTAGATACAGTTTTGGAAAGTGGCACTGACGACCAATGCTTCGTTCAGTGTTTAAATGTCAAAGAACTTCCCTGGTTATCTAAGGGCTGTTCACATCTGGGTTATAATCTGCTCGCATACTTGATCTGTCGGGCAATAGAAGTGAATTACTAGGCGTATGACCTAACTTTTACAGATTTTTTAAAATTACATTTAAAAGGGGATTTTTTCGCGGTCTTTTGTGGTTCTGAAAAGATCGTGAGTAACAACAACTAAAGGTAGCAGAATGTATGATGGCAACTGATAAACTTCACATTCGATGGCACTACAATTTATGCGATTTCCAACGAGAAAAAAACCCATTTAAAGAACAGGAATCAATTTGGAGTGTTCGTGCTGCCGACGTTGTGTCCTATGAAACGTAATTATTGGCACAAACGTTCTAGAAGTGGCGATTTCGGTCTTACTGACCAGCCGAGCCCTAGACAGCCTCAAAAGTTTGAAGATGCGAAATTGCAAGCTCTATTGGATGGAGACTCAACACAAGTGTTTGCACCACCAAATGAGAAAAATCCAAAAACTTGGAGGTTGGGTCTCCCCACATGTATTGACGGAACCCAACCTCTTAAGTCTACGTATGAAAACATGCCTTTCATTGCTTGCCAATTGGAAACAAAGAACTTCTTGCGTAAAATTGTGATGGATAATGAAAGGTATGTTCTTTACGAGAATCCTAAACGTGAAAAGTTGTGGGTCGATCCCCAACAACTCAGTACATCGAAGTCAGAGCAGGACATCCACTTGAAGAAGGTTCGCCCGCGTACTTCATTACGAACTGAAAATTGGTCAGACAGTGACTACGAAACGCTACAGCCGACAAATGAACAAAGTGAGCGAAGAACTTGATCAGAAAAGGCCATTTACTGGACAAGGAAGCAGGCAAGTCACACTGTTGCTGCATGACAATGCTCGACCTCGCGTTGTTCGCGCGACTCAGAAGATCCTCTTGAGCTTGGGATGCGAAGTTCTCCCGTACGTGGCATGTTAACCAGACACGGCCCCATCCAACCACCATTTGTTCTGGTCAATGCAGCAGCACGCCTTAGTGGATAAACAGCTCAAAGCGCTGGACCATGTGCGTAAATTCGTCGATGACTTTATTGCACCGAAGCCTGCAAGTTTCTTTCGCGACGGCATTTATGCGTTACCTGAGAGGAGGCGCAAGGTCATAGAAGGCGATGGACAATGTTATCAAGGTTAAGCTCCCTGTTCTAGATAAATTTGCTGAAAATCTGTAAAAATTAAGTCATACGCTTCAATTAGTAAGTCCTCTAACAGACAGAACTTTCAGGTAATGGGGGCTTTAGGGAGGAAAATAAATTTACCTTGACGGGAGATACGTAAGTCCAACGCCGTGCAAATATTCATGTGGGACATACGCCCACAGCAAATAAATACCTGCAATGTAAAGCACGGCTTACGAAAACCGAATTTCCCAACCGCCTTCACCAGGTTATCTTTTCAAGCGAGACAATGCCAAGGAGTTAAGGCAAAGATGAAAATGGTAAATTCATCTCGGCGATTAAATTCTCGACTAAGCAATTAAAACGAATGTTATACGGGTGGATGGAAATAGGCGAGGGCACACACTGAAGCCATTTAGAAATACTGAAAAGAACAATGAACAAGGGCTCACCAAATATGGACCATGAAGCGACATAGATGACGAAACCGTAGACCCCTCGTTCAGTGACGGGCCCCGGGGAATTAACTGACTTGGGTAATGTGACTAAAATAATAATGTGGTTAGTCCAACAATTGAGAACTTACACTTATAGCGTTTAATGCATGCTGAAACGGGAGCCATGGCACTAAAATTGAAAAAAAAACCAAGCTACCGTTGAGCTAGTTATTTCAGATGCACATTAGTTAAATTAGCTCAGGCGTTATGTTTTCTCACTAATGATGACATAAAGTTGCCAGCGATTTGACTGCATATCCCCTAACCCCTGACTGATGGGGCCTTTCTCAAGTCGCAATCCACACATTCATGAGCACAATTAATATTTGATAAACTAGTTCAGTGGGAGGGAGGGAGCAATTTACGAATATTATACAACAGAATCGCCTAGGACCGGATATCAAGATGTGATAGAACACATAAGGTCGCCACAGTGTGTTGGAAGCCAAACATGATAACTGTGAAACCAAATTAAGTGAATTGACTGACTATAGCAACTACATTTGCCTCGAGACTAGTGGTATCGAAAATCCGGCAATAATTTACCTCCTGAGTATTAACTCAGAGCAAAACCAAATTATCAAAGGTTGAAAAAACACGCAACGAGTTAGGAGTTATCGGTGATCTGATTGAGCCAAATTAGAAAAAAAAATTGCTCATGACGCACGAAATAAATATTTCGACCTTGGATTTCACTGCTACCTTAAATGATGACGTTGCATAGGCCCTAGTTAAAAATCCCATGTCATAATCCTACACTTTGCACAAACATCAAAATCGAAATAACGTCATCTTCGACTAAGTTAAAAGGAAACCACACAGGGAGGAAGAAGGTTGAGCCAGAAAACCAACCTTTTTATTTAAGTACATACAAGGGGAAGGCTATTTACATAACTGCAATTGTTCTAGCTCCTTTCTTAAGTCATTTTCCCTCGCCATCTTCTCTAACTGCGTGTTTTCTAATTTGGTAGTCTGTTGAAGGACTTTCAGTTTCTCAATTTCATTCAGTTTCTAAAAATTAAAAAATAGTTTGGGGTTAGATTGACTAGAGAAACAAATGATCCCAGTGTGGCGCAATAAGAGAGCGACCTGACGTAGAGCGAAATTCGAGCAGCATGTATCCAACATGACCGCTTGGTTAAACATCACACACAAAGAGCAGTCTAAACATCGGACGCAACTGATGAACTTACAATGTACCCCACATAATAAAAGATTTTGACAAGCATGTTTCACACCTACGAAAATAATTCACTGCTTTTGCCATAGTAGCACGACAAACTAATGCGGCGGATGCAAGGGTAATGCTAAGTGGACGGTTATAATTTCAAAAAGTAACGTTAGAAAACATGCAGAAAAGGTGATGAGGGCAATCAAAGCGTGCCACTGGGCAAGTGGTGAAGGCCTCACGCGCACAAAGCAACAGCGACTTGCACCAACGCGGCAACGTTGGTTGCATTTGTCCATTGTGGTGCTGCAGGAAGGTGTGTCTTATTAAATTATGCTAAGATTATCGCGGTCTATCATGTAGGCGTAAAAATTGTCGATGAACAAATTACCACAACTAAATAAGCGCAGTTTTTCTAGGGTTTAAATGGCCTTTTATATGGAGCATCCTAACACCCTCCTGCTTTGACCCGTGACAGAACACAACTGATAATAAATTTACTTCGACAGTCCAAACATGAGTACTAAGTAAAACAATACCTTTTTCAGGTAATTAATTTGCTTCTGATTTGCACTTGGTTTCGATTCCTCGCTTTGTTTGTGATCGCCACCCTTTTTCTTTTTCCCACCTTGAACGAAAAAGATTAAACGGTAGACGCGTCTGAACAAGGATTAGTTCACCTAACATGGGTGCGCAGAGATGAACTGCTGTTGCATTAAGATAAATACGAATGGACTGAGCTACAACAAAAAAGCCGTTCTGATGTATATTAAAAAGAATAGACAGCCAAGAGCCATTGTGGGTGTGTGTGTGTAGTCTTGCACACAACTTTGGGCTTTGGTGCCAGAAGAGGATTTTCGGTTATTAATGTGGCATAGACTTAAGTCTTCTGCGACTAACAGCGTAGAGAACAAACTTGGCTCCACCTCACTTATCACATGTGACTCCGCGTTTTGATTGCCTTCCCCTACAATAGTATAACTATTGGCAAAGTAGACGCAGCTGGGGCTGGAGGCTCACCACTTTGGCTTTTGGCACTGCTTTCAACAACCAGGCCGCCGATGGGACCACTGGAGTTTGTGAAGGTGATGTGGGCATTCGACTTGAGGTCCCGACCAGGTAGACCGGACGCGACATTGGATGCGTGAGTGGCCGTTGCCGAGCGGTTCCTCAGGGCCGGCGGAACGTACACCTTCGGTTTTTCAAGTTGCCCGGGCGGGAACTATAAGGCAAATTGATTGACTCAAACACTAAACATGGGAATTTTTTAACACCAGTGAGCCAAATAAAAAACACAACAGTCCTCATACGTGGTCGTGAGATTTGGCTAACGAGAGGAACGAACTTTCCAAGTCTCGAGAATAGTCACAAGTGGTGCCCGCATTGAATACACAAGGTCCGCTCCTTGAACTTATTAGACAGTGCTGGCGAGCACCGACTACAGGCCTCACAGTATACATGGCATTGGTGTCCACTACTCCGAGGAAAGATACCGTGAACAGACGCAGACCAGTCAGCATCAAGAAATCCAGTCTAGATGCGTGATATTTGGCAGACGAAATAAGTAAACCTCAGCTTTTTAGACGAGGTCAATTAAGGAAGTGTAATGTTACCAGTGAAGCAGTCTTGGCGTCAGTAGCAGAATTGTCACCTTTGCTGGGGATGGGGGCAGGAGGTAGGCGATCGAATAGGAGAGGACGAAGAAGGACCTGGTACAGCTCGTGTTCCGTAGATGCCGGCAAATCTACCGTGGCAGGCCGCGGATTCGCGCGCTTTTCAACCGCTTCGTGGGCCACCGGCCGACCCGAAAAATGCCAAAGGATCCAGCTTAAAGCGTAAAAAAGAACGGGAGGCGCAAGTCATTAATGCCGAAAAATTTGCGTAGGAATTTAATTTGAGGGCTCTTCAAATGAGTACTTGTGACTCACTTAAACGGCTACACGGTAGTAGCCCGAGTGGCAGACTAGGCAGATAAACCGCAGAACTGAAGTGAAACAGTCCACCTCTCATTGAATTAGAAATAATATTCACTAAGGCCAAGGCCCCATTAAATTGCATAAAGAATGCATCAAGCAAATAGAACAAGGAGACCAGTGGAATAATGCAAAGTGTTAGTCAAAGAATGGTTACCCAACGAAAACTACAAATTGCGGGCCATAAAATAACTTGATTAGTTTGAATATGTCATGAAAGGAAAAGGATTTAATGAGTTATTCACGTACTCTATTTATCCCTACTTTTACCGAAAGCGAAGCAGAATATTTTTATCACAGCAAAGACAAGCATGGATTAAAATTGCTTAATCAGTTTGCAGGTTTCAACTAGTTGCAAGACTTTGATTTATTCAATCACACAAGTCACCAACTTGTCTGGCATTTGCGTCAATTGTATTTCAGCACTCATCCTCCACTAAACTGAGCACATGTGTCACACATTAGTTTGTGTTAACAGTTTGTTTTCAATGCAACGGGTTGCCTCTGGCCTCGTCGCCTGGTCTCACCGTCAACAACAATCGTGAGTGAATGCTGGGACCATATAAAATCCTTTCCGACCCAGCTAGAAAAAAATTGTAATGCTGAAGGGTGTAACATGTTCATCGCAAACACCAAATTTCACGCGCAAGATGTGCTCTAGCTACTTTCTAACACAAACTAACGTAGCAACATATTCAGTAACTAGTGGACTTTCATATGAAAAGGCACTCAAGAATTTCGATATTGACAATATCCGCCGTTGGCACCGTTCACCGAGTGCGTATGCGCAATTATTGAGTGCTCCCGAATGCCTTCATCGTCCTCCGTACGACTCACCTTAAGACTGCGAATTCAGGGGAAATATCACTTAAAAAGATCACCAACTATACTTTGCATAATTGTTACAAAAGTCCGTAAGTCATTTTGCACTGCAGTTTATAATAAAGCGAAAATATCGAAATGGTATTTTGCTTTGCTGTGTGTGATTTCTCTGGCAGAAAAACTTGACTTACGAAACAGGGGCGGCATATGGCAAAAGCATTTCAACAATACCAACACAGCTGCTGGTATGCGAACTGCCAAGTTCATGAGTTTACAATCCGAGTCATTGAGCTGGTATCAGGCGTTGGAATAAGGGTTGCTAATCACAAAGTAGCAATACCTAAAGCATTTTTCTTCAATTAGTGCAGACCACGTGGAGCATAAATTGCTAGGTTGTAAATCTTGATGGACAAGAGCACAAACAATTGTTCCTTTGCTAATTAAAGCAACAACACAAAAACAAAGTTACGCTGCTTGACTTGACTGGATACAAGTGAGTCTAGCTGATGAGAAGTGCAATGCATAAAGGGGCTAAATTATAGCTTTAGCCCAAATGCCTGCAGAAAATGCACACCAAAGAGGAGTACCGGCGAGGGTAGCTGCAATGAGACAAGCTTACCCGTTATCCACTCGGAGACGTGGAGTTGTAATGGCAGTCACGATGTGTTCGCCATCAGGGAGCCAGGAAAGATAGGTTGAATTCGGCGCGGAAAACTCTGAAATCCGTCGTTGGTTTTTGTAGTCCCAGATAGTCACAGATCCATTCAAGCTACCGAATCCACCAGCAAGGAGAATGTTACCCTGAGGATTGAAGTAGATTTGGTTCCAAGGGCCCGTTCCGAGAGAGAAAATCTTCTCGCACTTGACATTGAACACAATCACCGCGGATGGCAAAGCTAGAAGAATTAGAAGTGAGAACAAAATGTTTTGGCAGGTGTATCTATATTTACTGTCCTATTCTGACCTGTTTCGTCATGTAACCTGAGCTAGATATTTACATTCTTCAGAAAAAGCCTGTTTGTACAAATCCATAATTGAAGAACAGTAAGTCACAAACACCGTTGAACAAAGTGCACACTTGGTACCAAAAACTTATAAGCAAAAAGCAGCCTTAGACGAATCTAACCAAAATGAAACACCACATACACCCCTGACAAACAACAAATTGTTCCTCTGAAGCACGCCCATTTGGATTCTGAGGACGCCAGAGGACCTGGTGAATAGGACCATTGCGAGGCATAGGAACCGAGGCCGAGTCCACGCTTTTCACCGTGGTCAAGAAATGCAACGTTTGTTCGCCATAATAACTCGTTTCACTTGTCTAGAAGGGATAACAGGAATACGCTAAGTGAGAAGCTAGTTAAGACCGGGTTGAGTACAAGATAAGCCAAATTCAATGTACGAATCAATAAATCCCTAGTGCAAAGGATTCGAAAAGCAAGGCAAGCAGGCGCAACTAAAGATCGCAGACTGGCAGTTTTAAATAGACCTAGGAAACCGGTGTTTTTAATGACGGGTAATAGAACCAACTAATACAATTATTGAATATCATCCTTACTTCACTTTGTACTGATTTGGCGGGGAATAAGTGAACTTAAACGACAAGAGGAACCAATGATTGGCAATTTGCTGTGAAGTGTGATCTCTTTAACGTTGACAAAGACCTTGATTTAAAGCAAATGGATTTAGCGAACCAAACCTATGCACAGCTGCGTGGGCATGCAAGTGTAGACAAGCATGAAATACAAAGCAGTCGCAAAGTCATATGCGAAATTTAGTTGTGACTTTCAGAAAGGAAGCAGTGATTAGCACAATAATCAACAAATCTAGTATGCAACAAATACTGCATCAGCAAACAGGGAAAGAAGATGAACGAACCTTTGTGGATGTTAAAACAAGGAGGCTTGTCCCGACAGAACTCCAGTGGAACGATACCGTATCGGCGCGGAAGAAAGACTTGTTCGCCACAGGGACACACTCACCATTTTGCCACGCATACACAAAAACGGTAGACGGCAAGCCCTGGGAAATAAGAACAATTTGACATACACCCGTGACTATGCGGAGTGAGTTAAAAAGTTCAAACATAATAAACAAGGGCACAGGGATGTGAAATTCGGGTGGATACCAGCATGTGAAGGAAGAACCCACCTTACCGCCCAATGGGTCATTAGTCTGCTGCTAGTCAAATTAAGTCCACACCTCGACTGTCACTATTATTCCACTCCTGTTCGAACAAAAGGAAATACAGTTTGTGGAGTTGATTATCAGGGGAGTTCTCTCCACAAGAGGACCTCGATGAAATTGGCAGGATTTGAGGCTTTCATCAAAACATACGATTATTACTTTACACATGAAGTCATTTCTGAGAGACCAAGTCGAATCTTAAGGAACGGTTGTTGCTTGACGGTTGGGTATTCCAGCAGAGAAAATAACCACATTGATTTATGTTCATTAGTTTAACGAAACATAGTGACAACCACGAATAAGACATTGAGCAGACTACAATGAAATCGGGTTTTGTGGTACTTATAATAATTGGCAACAAAGAAAATATGGAGACTAATAATATTTGGAGAAGGATGCAAAATACATTACAAATCATGTCATTACAACGGCTCAATACGCATCAACAAACACGCTTCTGCGTATCACTTAAAGCCGACAAAACCCATTTATCAACAACCCACACTTAAAGCTGCAAATGTTTCAAGTCCGACACAATCCCATGGACTCTTTCCAGTGACAAAATGGTCGTGCATTATTAAAAGCGCAGAACTGCTCTAACCAATATCTAATACCTACAAACGGGCTAACGTTTCTGAAATTTCCAAAAACGTCACTGTGCTGCTGCCAAATAACACTACTTAACATGGACTGCTGGGGTATATGACCCCTGATGCAATCAACAAAAGCACCATCTACATCGAAGTTAATGATGTCTCTAAAATCTACAGACCAGGCACGGATGAATTTTGGCCCATGCACTGTTGCCTCATCACCAAATAACAGCAAAACACGTTGTCATAAAATAATCCAAAAAAAAATTAACAGTAATCAGACATTTTGTGACGTTATTAAAGTTAGCCTGGACACACGAAAGCCACGCTACAATTTTACCTCATCCAGTAATAGCAAGAAATTGACTCACTTTCTCACCAGGCGTGTAGACAGCTAGGTGACGGTTTTTAGGAGACTTGGAAAGACAACAATGGCGCATCCCCTTTAAGGTTAACCGCTTTGATGGCTTCGCCTCTAGCCGGTACAATGGTAAATAAAAACAACGTGAATTGAGCATGGTTACGTGAAATCTAGCGGCTGGTGAAAGGTAAGAAGGCATAAAAGAATAGCTTGGGCGAATGAAATTGATAGGACAGTTTTATAAATTTTTCATTCAATTAATGGAAGACTACCATTGTACAGAAAAATAAACTGGGAGGCTCAAAATAAATTTGAGGATAAAAGATCGTAGAAACCCAAAACCATTTTTTAGGAGCCATTTCGTATTTGCGGGCCAAATTGATTACTACCACTTACTACAACGTTTATTAAGTGGATTTAAACAGCGATGACTGGAAAATCATACACAATGGACTGAAATACTAGATTGTAGAAAAGGTACTTACCGAGGTTGTTGGTGTAGAACTGAATCTCCCCTTGCCACATTCGAACACATAGTTGGCTATCAAGAGACCATTGCGGACGCCTAGGCAAAAAAAAACCGTGGAGAGACTGAAGTAGGCGTTGGCAATATAGCCTTTTTAAGGTTTTCTTGAAAAAAACCACACATTTACTTGAATAGAATTTCAATCCATTTAACCTTTCTGAAAAAAAAACTTGGAACACAACTCCACAAGACACAGATCAAAAGATCTACATAAAACCAGCACAATTTGATACCACAAACCGCATACCAGAATAGTCCCATGTGCTTTGTCGACACTAATGGTTACGGGTAGAGGTTAACTAGAGTATCGGCTCATTTAACTAAACAGGTGCAAGCCAACAAAAGTATCAATAATAAAAGGACAGAAAATCACAAAATCCCAAAAAATTGGTTAATATTATACAAACCATGTTTCAGCTTGAACGTGAATTCGCGAATCAACTATCGTCCCAGAGGCGACATCAAAAACGTGGAGATTCGGTTGTCCATTAGGATGCTCAGCAGATTCTAAATGTTTAAACATTGTTAATGTCAAATCGATAAAGGTAATTTGGAAATAATTACAAAAGCATGTAATTAAAGACCCGAAACGAGATGCAGTCCATGAAGACTTCATGTGCTCCAAAAATATTCAGTAAGAGGGACGCCTCAACAAAAACTGATATTAAAGTTCGATGAAAAGATACAAATGTCCAGAGTAAATTTCGGCACCACTAAAATAGCAAACAGTCAGAACGACGATTTCTGCCACGATTATTCACAGGATACCGCACGATAGTCAAATGATCATTAAAACGATACCTCATTCAAGAAAAATTCAAATTTGTGAATCTACGGAAAATAATACTATGCTAACTGTGTAACGAAGAACTTTCAGATTAAAACATTAGTGGGAAATCAAAGAACTTACTTCGAAATGGCGAAAATGTGACCAGATATTTTGCATCGGGCGAAATAGCCAACTTGGAAATACCCTTTTGCTCAAATGAGGAAATTTCTTTGCCGTCACTATAGTTACGTACGCTGATTCTAAAGTTCGCGGGAAAATGATGTGAGAAGTATACGGGAGAATCGACTTGAGTACAATTAAGAATGCTTTACCTTGAACCATCACTTATTGCAAGCACAGACCCATCTGGAGTGAAAGCTAGTGCTTTAGCAGTGTTCTCAGATTCCCTTAAAGTAAGAGTGGGTAATAAGTTCGCTGTTAAAACATTCTGGTTAGTGACACATAAAAACATGAACACACTTCTCCAGTAATTTTAGCCCATCCTTCGAAGAAAATGAGAAGAAGCGAACTCCATCACTTGAATTTGCTAAAAATCTAGTGTACTTACAGCTACAGCCTTACTTATGATATCGCAACCAGACATTGCCGTAGACACTTCTGATGTGGTTTAAAGAGCGCGCTCTTGGACAATCTTGCGAAAGCCTATGTGAACAAGTCTTAGGACTCGTGACCACAAATCATGGTTTAAAGAGCGCGCTCTTGGACAATCTTGCGAAAGCCTATGTGAACAAGTCTTAGGACTCGTGACCACAAATCATTGAACGCATGACCATTTTCAGACATCTCTCGGTTACTCATTAAAATTAAAATGCTGCTTAAAATAACAGAAGTGCAACAATTACGAAAAAAGTTATTGGGGCTTTCCAAAGAGAATATCATTAACGTTAAGAATACCTGTATATATTAGATGTATTTGACTATTTATAAGCAATAATATCTAAAATTTAAGCAGTTGAGATACTTAAAACATAAATCATCTAAAAATAACTGTGCTTTACCTCTGATAACCACCCTTTATTTTTGAGCGGCGAGTAAGCTATTGAAAATTCTAACCGTTTGATAGTTCAAATGAACGGCTGTTCTGATACCTGTTCCATCTAATTAAACATTAATCTTATTCTCGTTACTACATGGTTACGGTCATTATCAAACAGGCACAAGCTTTCTTACGCCAGAGTACCCCAGCAGTTGTCCCATCAACGCCATTCACCCGGTATTATAAAGATCTGTTTGATGTCCAGAGGAAGCATTTTAGTACCCAATTCTTTTCGTTGAGAGGATTTAAAGATAGTTTAATTGTAGCATACCGGTATCTAATTTATAAGTACTGCTCCTAATGATTTCAGTCTACCATGAATTAATTTATCCTGGCCTATCTACGTGATTCGGTGCGTTGTGTTAATGGACGCCTATCCCATGTCTTCTAAAAGTGTTCCACGGAGTTCCCCACGACACTGAGAACAGTATAACCTACCCTAATTTACACCAAAACAACTCCTTAAATTTTGTCGAAAAATCGCTATTTCGCATTTACATTCCCCAACCATCTGAAGTCAAATGGACAGGCTGAAAGGTATGTCGACACCTTAATGTTAGCTTTGATTTAATCTTTTGAGGAGAATTCGACATCCTTTGATATCCAACAGGATTGTCGAATTGCAATTGCCCCAAACCATATAAGGCCCTTCCAAATTGGCGATTATGGTCAGTATTGCCTGAAATTTCGCTAGCTGCAAGCGACAAGTTCCATTATGCTCCATGGGCCTTGAGCCCCCACGTGTGGTACCTGGTACTTCATTTGCGTTTAGAACCTCAACGCATGCTCAAGCCTACTAAGTGAGAAAGATAATATTTAATTTAAAGGTTTCACTTTGACACATGGATGATTTATATATACCAACTCTGCTGAAGACAAACTGGGAAGACATCAAATCGATAGATATGTATTAATAAAACTTGCTAGTTGTCATCTTACAGCTATCAAGGTAAACTAAATCCTAATTTGATCATAAAAACACAGATCAAATCACAGTAAATATGCTTCTAATTTCAAGATGGAATGATCGTGGACAATGGTAACGGACACCAATTCAGATCAACCTGAAAAAGGAGCCCTTCTAAAACTTCAGGAAGGAGAAATGTTAAGGCATACTGCATTCCCGGAGACTGCTTATCATCTAACCAAAATTTTGTTGACGTATACACAACTCCCTCTGTGTTAGTCTCCCTTGATCCATCTAGTCAAGTTCACCCACCACACGCATTACGTGTACAATTTGACATGTCACTCAGCTTATGGCTTAGACAGTAATAGCTCCTTGCATACGATCTTTCATCTGTTCTAGTTTTTGGAAGGAAGCAATGTACTTAGACAAAGGGGTTTGTGTCAGTTTACTGGTGGTCATTACAGAAACAAAGATGGTTTTTTTCATAATACGGCATTAATTATGCTTATTTTTAAGTTATTCTTGTTTGATGTTGTAGAGTTTCGCTATGACAGATTTCCGATTCAGTGACTGTAGACTATATATTTGTGATAGGTTAAAGTCGTTTTTTATCGGAATATTAGAAAATATGTCTTAAGTTAGTCCGACATCGCTTCTATAATCATTGCATTCCTCGGGTATTAATTCAAAACAAGTGTTTAATTAATAATTGCAAAGCTGGAAATCGCTAGCTCATTTCTCATATTAATTTCAATATAATGGTCGAAGGAGACAAAATAGTGAGAAATGCAAATACCAACATTTATAAAAAACAGACTTTGGAGCATCAACTTCCACCAACTCACATACAAAATCCAAAACGCAAACTTTGTGAGCCTACTTTGTTCAACCCACTCCGGTGTTCTAAACTAGTTTGTTCCTACATTCCAAAAAATGAGCTCTGCTTTACTAATATTTTGGTTTGTTTTGAAAAACAAAATTGAAAAAAAAAACACTGTTTATTCCATTTCGCAGCGTGAGAAGCATCCGATTAGTACTGCATAGTCGAGCTATCATCTCAAATCAAGAGCAGTCTATGATACGAAATCAGCGAAGTCTCTGCAGTTTGCCAGATATCAGGGTTGTATATCCTCCTCTTAGGGAAGTGGAAGTCATTTTTCTTTCCAACTACTAACAGAAAGAAGAGAGCCCCAAATTAAACATGTCAACGCCATAGCTCATGAACTAACAGCTCGGCGACTGTCACAATCTGAAACTGATTCCTTGCTGTCTACGCTAATCCACCCAAAGCGAAGCAGTTCATCTCAAGTGTAATCTCAAACATTTTTTCATAGTTTGCCCTTTTTGAGTTATTAGCTCAAATTGCTTTAACTCAAGATATCGGGAGGTGTGAAATAGTAATAATTTTCCTTTAAAATGTTAAGCTGCCTTGATTGCTTCAGCTTGCACCCCAGACAGGCCCCATTTGAATAAGTCTGAAAGGAATTGCAAATTGGATTTGTTAAGTAACCATTCTTGATCAGCAATCTGGCAGAATAATTTGTTTTTCAAAAAGCGAGCCTTTCAAAGCTGGTATTTCTTCTACCGGCCTGGTCTTGGCAACGTGGCTCTGCGGTCGCTAACAACACCAACAATACGGTCGGCTTGTCTGACACCGTTAAGTTACTACACTAGTCCAAAGGTCGTTGAAAAGATAGGCGATTTGAGAACTTTACATCAAGACAAAAGAAATAAGTTTTTGTAGACTAACCATTAGATCTTCCACAGGGGCTGTAAAGTTAACCTCTTGGGACAATTACTACGGATTCGACGATGCTAAGACTAGCACTGGGAAAAGACTTTATTCGCTATGACTGTGAGATCTTTTTACGACGACACGTCATCTATCGATAGCGTAGCCTATTGGTAATATTATCATGACTGAGTCCGTTACCTCTTAAATTCCCGAAACCTTCCTTGTCAGCATGGGTGCTCTCACTATGCTTTTGGCTTTTAGGCAAATAATAATTTTTTTATTTTCGAACTTGCTCAATCAGTTTCTATGTATTCATAATTTGGTTTTTGGTTTTTTAAAATGTTCCATCGAAAATACTTTGCATTATTCTTGCCTGGGTTTCTTGTTATTCGGTCCCCAGGGGAATATTTCGAATCAGAATTAACACTATTTAATATTTTCTCCTGGAGTGAGCAAGGGTTCATTCACTGGTTATCGCACATGCCTGTGTTAATTTTCAGGCTTATTCGCTGAACAATTGAGAAAGTTAGGCTGAGCATGGCTAAAGTTAGTGTACTTCGTACTTTTAACCTTCAAATATACAGTGTACATCAAGGGGAGTGGAAGTCCACCATAGTTTAATGTAAAAATCAATTCACCACAATTCCACCTTCGAATCACCGCGATACTGTGTATTTGTAAGCTTAATGAAGGAATTAGATCTATCCATTAAAAATACATGGTTGAACTTGTTTGAGGTATAAATAAGGTTCACGAATGATAACAGGAATTCGTTTTAAAGAAATGTTCTATTTGTCAATTATTACGCCGGTAAAGAATGCAATGCATTAATCGTCATCTTCAGACTTGTAAGTGCAGGGCATAGGGTATTTCTGAAGACGACGTCCAGTATCCTTCATAAGGACAAGAAAGTCCTTCACATGTTTGATCATCTTCACACCTAGAGGATCCTTCTGAAAGAAATTTCGCAAATCAGCGGCAACCTTCATGGCACCCTTATTCAGATCCTTCAAAGTCTGAAAGAGCAAACGAATTTGCGTGAACTTACAGCTAAATGCACACATCAGTCTTAAACGTTAGCGGTGGTTAAATCAAGCTTCAGAACTATGATATCAATTACATGCAGCAACAAGCACACTGCAAACTCAAGAAATTTAAAATCAAAAAGTTAAACTTACATCCCTGAAAATTAAAAAAAAAAGTTTTTGAGTTTAGAGCTCAGCAAAATCAAAGTAAGAAGAAAAGGACAAAATTTTACTCAGAAGCGACGACAGCAACAGCGAAGATCGCGAGGGCTAGAATGATGGTGACTCTCATTTTTGCACCTGTTCGTCAACTCGTCGACTGATTTTCCGGCGGGGCTACGTGGGTTTATATATGGTCTACAGATCGACGCGCATGTGAACTTCCGGCTGCCGGAGTTTACACATAATCTATGGATTGTTTATACGCCAAACGCTAAGGCAACGCAGCGACAAAAATAGTGATTGACGAAGAAATAACCCCTTTACAAATTCTAAAAGTCATGAACAGATTCTCGTGGGCGAAAACATTTATCATAAATTTACCACAAAAAAGAAGTGTGAAGCTCTATAAGCGTACATGTTGGTTAAAATAACGAGGATGCATTGTTTTTCTCATGAGAACCTTTAAAGTCGTCATCAAACCAAAAGAACCTCAATTTGCTTCGTGCCTTGCAAGTTCAACAATGGCAACTAGCAGTTAATCCACGTAGTCGTCAAGGGAAGCTGCTTTGATATGTGGTGAAAACGTTTTCTCGCTTCAGGCTCCTGACATTTGCTAAGTAGTCGTTAATGGGTTGATCATTTGAAAGTTTCTATCGTCAGTCCGATTCCCGCCTTCCGGTACTTGTAAATGCACAGAAAAAAAAGCATTGAAACAGTGGAGCAGGGGCAGGCCCTCAATAACGGGTTGGATTTACCTAAATGCAGGTAAATTAAAAATAGCACACACGGATAGCGTTTAAAGGGGAAGCATACAACGCAACGGTTATAAGAACATCAAAAATAACCAAAATCTTAACACGTCATAAAATAGAGGAGCGATAAATCGCAGAGAGGCACCTGTAGTAGTCAAGGGTAATGCCAAAATGAGGACAAACTGGAGGTTCATTTGCATGCATAGGCTACTTAAAGGAAACCCAAAGTTCAACCTCCAATCAACTCACTACAATGGCCACAGTGGACTTGTGATGCGCCAAATGAGCACACACCACGGCTACTTCCAGCAGTGAAATCACTTGAGCATTTATGCAAATTTATGCAAATCACCCAAACACAATTGCAGAAGGACTAAAATACACACACAAACACAAAAATTAACCGAATTTCGTGACCTCAATGTGGTCAGAAAATGGAGCTCCAGTGGTACATGGTGTTTTTGCTCACGGACGTGTTGGTAAAACTCAGCTGCTTCCTAAACACACAAGATTCTGACAGCACCGCGCACTTGCACGCAAACGCGCAATTACACCTCTACAAAAGACGAACCAATTCAACACCATCTGCCCCAGACAAAACGAACTTCACCCATCGGCATTGTGAGGGTGCAGTTTCTTTCGCCTAAAGCCAATGTGGAGGTGTTCACGAAGAACCCACAAATCCACGACAGGATCGCACGTTGTCAACCAACCTGTGTGCAGAACATCGATGGCACCAACTTGTGTGACACCCCATACAAGTAACTCAATTATCGACGAACGCAGCATTTACTAATGAAGGCAAATCTCAACTCGGTAAGGTAACAATCAGTGTGCTGGAAAAAGTTCGTTGTTGTATGGTGTCTCGAGGTGTGAGCACGGCCATCGCCAGACTTCAACATTCTCGGGCCACAGCCCTCAAGACTATGAAATTGTGTGAAAACAGAAATGAAACACTTCCCTTTTATCATGACACGATACAATCCCTTATTCCAGACACCCCAACGACGAATTAAGCGACACTTGTTGGTTTAGAAATGCAGCGACTCTGCACAAAACACCATTGCAAATAAACAGGCTACATTGAGGCAGATGCAATGAAAGCCACATCGTCACATACCACATCCCAAACAACGACCAATTCGTTTCGTGGTGTAACTGAACACAGTCAAACTTACAACCAGGTGAGAAGCATGGCAGCCGCTCAGATTATGACAGTGCCTCTTAATAGCCTATCAACGCGTTTTCAGGCTGTGATGAGTAGGGCTGGTGTATGATGCACGGAAGTGGCACAACACCCAGCACTGAGTTTCTGACAGTTTGAGAGGTGTTACACGGCAGTGTTTGAGACGCGTCGGATATCCAACATAAACGCGTCTGTCTGTGGACAACTCGGTGATCGTGACAGAAAGTGGATTACTGACAGAAAATTACGTCACGCTTAGCGTGGCGTGGGCTAGAACATCCATTAGGTCTAATTCTTTCCACATCACGTTGCCACCGGTTTCGTAGTTCGTTAAAAGATATTGATTTTGCAGTCGAACCTCCTTTAAAATCTCGGCAAAGTCCACTAGATTGGTTTTTTCTTCAAAAACTGTGAAACATAAAAACTGCCAAGGGGATAGCAAACCCACCACCTGAAATGGCACGGTTGAAATGGAATAAACGAATTATTTTTAAAGTTGAAAATCTTTGTTCAGATTCTGCAGCATGCCTACAGAAACAACTTAACTTCGATTTGAAGCAGAAATCTGCAGTACATATAATGGTGAACCAAAACTAACACACACAACAAAGTACCAAACCCTGCAAGTTGGCGATTGTTTACTTACTTTAGTCGGATCATGATACCAGGCACCGTCGATAAAGAATTTGTACTCGTGCCTCCCCGGAGGACAGTCAACAATGACGACGTGGCCTGATTTCCTACAAAACAGTAAAATGAGCACAGTGCCATCCACCGACATTCAAAACCAATCTAGGACTTAACAATATGTCACTTCTGGGTGAACGATTTAGTAAAAAAATTAGAACTGCCTAATTTGGCGGGAAGTTGCTTGACATGTATCCGTTTCAGGGGAAATTATGAAGCCATTGAGATCCAAATCTTTGCAGACAATGAAATCCTGCCCTGCAATAATAATGACGAATTTTATAGGGCCAGACGTTTTCATTCAGGAATTGGAGTTCTTGGCTTTACTGATAAGACTATCATGTTGCAAATGAGGTGGAGCGCAACTTCAAAATCAGGCGTTTTAAAACATGGATGCTTTTTATTGCCCCAATATAAATAATAACACCAAAACACTACAAATAAATGAACTTCCAGAGTACCCTAGCCAGTGTAAAGTCACAGGGCCTCCTAGCGTGCCGAGAAACATGTTAACCAAATTACCAACGTATTTGCTTTTTTCAGACTGTCCGCTGCGAGACAAATTCAACTCTATAGTGCAGCTTTAATGCATGTAATCATGTCACCGTACTTTGTATGTCGCTTAGGCAAACAACCCAAACAATCCGCTGAAAGAATTCGCCGAAGTGGCACATCAGACATTAAAGTGACGAGGTCCTTTGCATAAAAAGGCAGGAAGGCGATATGCTTCTGAACCACATTTAATACATAGAATAGAGACTTCGCATAACGATTTAAGGAGCAGAAAAGAGCACCTAAACTTCAAGTAGTGTTTCTTCTTTAGTAGAACCATACGGATTTTCTTGGGAATTTTACTTCAAGTGACGAGGATAATTAAGTACTCGCATAAAATCACCCCACGTTATTCAAACAATTATACCTCCAGCCGCCGCTTTACTTCGCATTTATCAATTATGGCTGGCCGTCCCGATCAAGGTGAAACAGTGAAAGAACATTACATCATAGATTACTCGTACAGTAAACTACTAGGACGTGAGGTCACAAAAAAGCTCCAATGCATGGAAAAGTTGTACACAGTAGTTAGGTAAAAAAAGCGGCTTTATGAAGAAAGACAACAAAAGAGGGACATAGACGATTGGCGCTCGATAAGACCAAAAAAATTGCGAAGGATTAAATATTTAGACTAACGTTGGCATTTACAGCAATAGCAACAGAATTGCGCAAATACTACCTGGAAATCTAGTGAATTATCAAAGAGCATTTTTTCCATTAAATGTGGTTAACTGTCAGGGATCAACTTAGTAACTTTACTATGACCTCGTACCAAATTAAGGTATAGCGAGCAGCCGCCAGTGCACGAAAAACCCCAAAGAGAACAAGGAATTAGTGGAAGACATAAAGAAATCACAGAACGTCCATTCAAATTATTAACAACTAGGCAGAATTTATTCGACAGTAGGCTTTGAACAGAATAAATAAACAGAAACGCTATTCGTCACAAGTCTGTGCGTGTCTATGCTTCAGATGTTTAATATAACTGCAGAAACTATGAATACCATCTTAGTGGATGATCTGCTCTTAGTAATATAACACAAATACCGATGTATCATGATATTTATTTAAATGATTACCTTCGAGCCATCGGTATGCGCTTTTGCCAATTATTGAATGTTCCACTAACATAAATCTCGTGCCCACCACCATTCCAACGGAAGACTGTGGGAAGTAAGTGCTTCTGTGGAGTACTTGTGGTCATTTCAACATCAGAAGGTAGGGTATCACCATCGTTCCCGGAACAGGATCTCAGTTCTCTCGAATCGCCGGAAGTGTCCATATACCCGCCAGTCGGTAATTCATGAGCTGAAGAGGGTACAGGAAGGGACGTAGGACGACCCGATGATACGCAAACAGAGTGAGGTGAATGCTCCGCATCATGGAGGCTCGCACCATGAAATAGCCAGGCCATGTTGTCAACGTCTGCACGATCGTAACCAGTGCCGATGGGCGCAGAACGAGGGGAATCCTGGTAAACAAAATACGGTATCGGGGCTTGCCAGAACAAAACAGTGTACATGCAAATAGAAATCCGACTTACCTGGTGTTCAGATAACGTAGGACGCTTGCTAGGAATATCCATAATAATGTGTGGTGGTGTATTGTCACAAGCAATCGTCTCGGCGTCACCAGAGAGGCGACGCTTACTGTGAAGTGGTGTATTTCCCATCATATACTGCACCCTACTAACGTTAATTGAAAAAGATTAAGAGATGCATGGACTTCTAAATTCTAAATAACGCAAGAAGCCCTTGCCATAACAAGCCTTTGAAAAGAGCGCTGCGCTGTGATTTCTTAATTATCACCGATCAGATGTGTCAAGGTAGATAATGAGAATAATGCAAAATTTCAAACTCTAACAATCCAATAAAGGAGCCAATACGTTCAATAATCTAATGTTCTTGAACAAGTGTGCCATAAGTAATCGCATTCAAAATATTTTTTTGTTTTACAAATAGCAGTCAAGTTTTTACAACAAATTTCCAATTCGTTACAGCTCTATCTGTTAATAAGTTTAACTAATATAATTATGTACCATATATAAATATTTGCTTCTCCAATGAATGCACTGCAGCCAGTGAATTTCAATCTTTTAGATCGATAGAAGACTTATAGAAATTGTCCTGTTAATTTGGTCTTTTTTGACGCTGGGGGAAAGAGTTGCCTATTATTTCAAGTAATGTTTATGTAGGTTAGAGCCTACAAAGCATTGCTTCTGTTATTTTTGATTTGAACAAACTAACTAAGGAAATAAATTTTAACAAATACCTAAATTATATACGATAAGTTGTTGTGTGACTCTTCGGGGACAGCTTGGTTGTTCAGAATAGCATTCAGCAGGCATACTTAAACGAAAATTTAAAATCATTTTGGTGTAAAGGCTATGCGAATTCAATTTGTTGTAGCTCCAGAATTGTCGTGCTCTTGTGTAATTAAAAATCACTTTAGCAAGTCAACAATTCAGGGATAAACGAAAAAAGTGCAGATAGGAATTTCTCGAATTTCAGTTGGAAAAGGTTATTGTGAAAGCGAGGTCATCAAAAAGTAGTTAATTGATATAAATTGATTTAAAACTCAATTTTGGACTCCAGGATAAAAAATGCACATGTTTTAATCGAACTTCGATGAAGCATATAAAGAGGTCTGCTTCCTCGATTACCAGAAATAAATTTCACTAATAGGTCCCATACCTATGCGGATAAATTTCATTTCGATTTTTCTTTATCGTAACATTTTTTAACACTGATGAAATCTTTAAGCACAAATTACTTAAAAATTCAAATTTTTACCTCAAGGCGTCATGGTCGTTGCATCGGCATTATATGCGACTGTTCTGTTAATCCTCACAATAAATAAATCAAGTTAGGACCATTTAATGTAAAATTTTGATTCTTACGTTTTAATGGGTAAACCAATACTTATGTATTCTGCCTAATTTTCAGCATTCTATAAACTGTGATTTTTAGCTTACCGACTAAGTTAATGCCCAGTAAGCAAATTGCAACCTATTTTAAAAAAAACTCAGTAATTATAAATGCGGTATTTTTATCATCTTTAACATCTAAGTGCAAAAACGAAGCAGAAGGAGTTTCACTGTGGACAACTAATTCAAAACTTAGTACTTATTTTATTTTGAATTGCTCACGTTAAGAATTAATAGTTAATGACCGGGCAGTTTCATGGCATTGTGTCGGTTTATACAATAAAATTTTCCCTATTTATGCTTTGCACCACAGTACATTAAATATTAATGCAATTGTAATCTCTAAACAGCCAGCAAAGCGATTTCCGTTAATAGCATATACTATTGGCATATTAAAGAGTTTCAAGTTCAAGTCTGCTAAGTCGCCCTGAATTTTGGATTTCAGATTCTAGATCTGGCTGTTTCACGCCGTGCGGAATACCTGTTCACACACTCGCAATTTTGAAGCAGGATTTTACACTACCACATGGCCTATTCATCTAAACGTTCTCCGATACACTGTTAACGTAAAAGTATTTTCCGTGGCACCACATACTTTGAATTTCATTAAATGAATGCCAATTTAATGAACAAAACCATTGGTATATGACATTCGAAATTAATATGCAGGATCTTCTTTACTTCTT